GAAGACTTGGATTAACACTGAGGTTTGCATAAGTAGGAAAGAAAACCCTAAGAGGGAACCACCCAAAACAGTAAGAACTTAATAATGTAGAATGTTCGGTGCATGAGAAAAACAGAACTTGAGTAGAACATACACTGGAATATAGTGGCTAGCATGTGGAAAGTGAAAATTTGGTGGAGTATGGAATGAAGTAATAGAAAAAGGAGGAAAAACGAATAAAAACATAGATATAAAAAGGTTAGACAGAATAATCTTATTGCCTGGTGCACTCTGAGAAACTGGTAGCCAGGGACTAAAGTGAAAACTGCCCAAAACCATCAGTGGAAGAATTAATAAAATTAATGAAGCTGTGATTGAGTACAAATATCCACTCACAGCTGGCCAATGGATTCCCCCCCCCCAAAAAAAAAAAGGTCCATGAATATTGAGTCATCTCAATGTTCAAAAAATGTTAAGAAAAAGGAAAGGAAAACTCCAGAGGATTTATGGAGTAGACTGGCTCTTCACAGAAACACTTGATGCTTGATTGATGTTTGCTCCACTTTTATTATACTGTTTAAGTTCCATAATATGATACTCAACTGCAACATGGTGTGTTCATAGTATGTTCATGAAATATGTATACTTTATGGCTACAAGATTTTAATTGTGGAAAATGCTTGTCTCTCTTTTCTTCTCTATGATGCCTATCCAGTGGATGATGCTTTTGCACAGCATGTAAAAGAAATATTTGGAGCAGAAGCAGACAAGAAAAATCTTGTAGATCCATTTGTTGAAGTTTGTTTCGCTGGGAAAAAGGTATTCTTTATGAATAACAAAACTGCATAATAAAATATATTGGCTAGAAATTTCAGAGAGCTCCTTTTGAACAAATATTTGCACAAAGATCTAAATAACAAGAATCTGTGCTCTATATTCTTGTGGTTAATGTAATATTACATTGCACTTAATTTATGAATTGAGCTATTTTACTAATATTAGTTTTATATTCAGTTTTGCAGAATTCACACTTTTGTAATTATGCAGCCATTCCATAGATGGCTAATAGCTCAATGTGCTATTTATGGATACGCTTTATATTATTTTTCTCCAGGTATGCTGGCATACCTGCACATGTTCAATGAACTGTACTTTTTATTCTTAATTCTATGGTTTACTGCTTTTATAGATAATGTAAAATCAATTAAAGGAAAGTATGTGTTCACATGTGAAATTTAATTAGCATATCATGCAAAATCACAGCATATTTTCTTTGCATATTTTCAAATAATTATTGAAGTTGCCATGCAAATGTTCCTGCTTCTTTAAGGTCATCATGTTTATATTATGTTCTAAAGTTCAGAAAATGGTTGTGTCCATTTGTAGCATTAAATTATAGCTATGTATTACATGCACAGACCTCAAACTCATACACTTTCTCCTCCACTGATACAACTATGTGGAGATCAGAAGCAATTACTTACATTTTAAACTAACTGTAGTTTGTTGTTGTCTCTAAATCCAGAACAACTGTGGTTAATGTTTGCTGTTTTTTTCAAACAACCCAACTTCAAATCGTGGTTAATTGTTCTGGATTAAATAAAACAGAAAGAACACTAGCCACAGTCTTTTTCAAGAATAACAGTGAACCATGATTGATTCAGAATGGAGGCAGATGCTTCCAATCCTCTTGTATCCACATGCAAGGAAAGAAGAGGAAGATAAAGTGCATAAATTCAAGGCTCATGCAGATAATCCTGAGCATGTATAGTATGGGGGTTGCCAGACTTGCTTAACAGAAGAACCACATATCAGATGTTTGAGAGCTGCAAATGGATGCCCATGAGTGACAGGGGTAGGCAGTGAATGATGACCCGCAAAATAAACTCAAAGAGCTGCTCATGAGCCTCAGTTTGGCCACCCCTGGTATAGTATTATATACAGCCTGCACCTACGCCTTGTAAAGATTTTCAATATAACAGTAGTTACTGTGCAGAGCAACTCCTATTTTATTGAGTCAGCTATAGTTAGGCTTAGTTGTCTGGATAAAAAAAAATCTGTAACATTTTGTCTTTTTTTTAAAGGTGTGCACAAATATAATTGAAAAAAATGCAAACCCAGAGTGGAATCAGCTTGTTAATCTTCAGATCAAGGTCTGTTGTTTGTTGCACCAAAGTCTGGAACAACATTATGTTCTGCTTTAGAAATAAGAGTATGAGTAATTGGTCCTCTTTTTTCCTAGTTCCCTTCAATGTGTGAAAAAATAAGACTAATGGTGTATGATTGGTGAGTTCTTCCTTATTATGTATATAGTAATGTGTAAATATAAAGCAGAAAGTACTGTTTTAACATGAAGTGCCAGTGTATATTGATTTCTTGTATTGCACAAACAACCACAGAGTTAATTCCATACTTTTTACAGAGTGGTTATTATCTGTAATAATAAAATTTGGTTATTGTTATAGAATATGACAAATTCTCATAAGTTCTTTTCATTCATTCACTCAGTCTGAATCATTATAGTGATTATTAGAATTCTTTTGTGGCTGATTATGACCATTATGTTTACTCCTAGCAGGGTTGGTCAGGTGCTGGTAGATGGGGAAAAATGAGAAAAACAATCTATTCTAAAAGGTTGTAAAGATGTGTGCACTTTCTTTTAACATCCTTTTGAGAAGGGTGCATTGTGCCATCAGATGGCCATGAGTGGAACTGAAATTCTGCAATAGCCACATGTGGACATTGAAGCAATAGGATAATCTTTTACAGCTTGCTAACTTTCACAGTGGCTGTGTGTATATGTGTGTACTGGGCTCTTTAGAAATTCAGTAAATAAAGCAGCAGCAGCAGTAGCAATAATAAATAGATCATTTACACATTCAACACTCACTATATTCAAATATATTGCATGAAAAAAATATGACATATTAAGTACTACAAATTTATTAAATGGTTAAAAATTATGTTTACCAGCAATCCCTAAAATGAATACTGATACACTTAATCATATTTTTTCCAGGGATCGTCTTACAAGGAATGATGTTGTGGGTACCACATATTTAAACCTCTCCAGAATTGCTGCCTCTGGTGGAGAAGTTGAAGGTAAACTAGCTCCCCACTAGATAATGTCTTCTAAAACAACTTCAATCTGAAAAATGGAAGAAACCAGGGGCAAAAGGATAGGGTAGTGATGTAAAGATCAGGCCAGAATCTAGCTCCCCTGCACTCAATGGACTTCTTTCCCATTCTTGACCCAAGGAAACAAGTTGGGCTCAGATCAAGTCTGTGGATGCTTGGGAACACTAGCAGCGTCTTTCTACAACATATGTAAAGTCTATAACTCTTAGTGCAAAATACACGATTTTAGAGCAGTGTACACAAGAATCAGATTTTCCACTGACATAAAATTAAATAAAAATTAAGCATCAATATAGAAAACTGAAAGGCAAACAAACAAAAAAGCTCCACTAGTTAAAAATGTATAGTGAATTGGACATTTTGTACATGTACAACTAGTTCTTGACCCTAGATTTTTCCATAATTTCTATCTTGTTTGATTTAAGGGTCATGTCCTTAAAATAATAGGGCTTGGTATGCTGCAAAGGTATGTGTTTGCATGTGAAAGTTGCATGGGAGCTGCTTAAGAATGATGCCTTTTATTCTTTTGCAGATTCTGTTTGTTTCAATGTGCTCCTTCTCAGGGCTTATCAATTGTGCCCATTTATATTGAACTATGAGGACTTTTGCTTGTTCCAACCTGTCTTCAACCAAATCACTTTATTTCTTCTATTGTGTTGGAAGCTGGTTGTGTGAAATTTTGATATTTTTTTTTTATTTTCATATTAATCATGCATCTCTTAAGTGCTGTATGTCTGGATGGTTGATTTGCCCAGACTCCATTCTGTGCAATCAGCTTCCTATTATGGATATAGTTCATATAATGATGAAAAGCAGTGACCTTTCTGTGCTTGGAATGAATAGTTTCTATTCCTTAGATGTGTCCCAGCTAGACCAATTACTTATGAGCTTTTCTACATTAGGCACTTATTATGCACTTGTCAGGTGTTCACAGATCCTGTAGATGGATGACCCTCCTGTTTTGCTTCTGTTTTTAAGCAGCATGTTTGGTTAAATAGTGGAAAAGTAGAGAAGAAAAAGGAGTTCATATAAGCAGATATCAGTGTTGCAACAAAATCATGATACAGAAGGTTAACAAGCTCATGTAGAAAAGTGCTATATTTTGCAGAATGATAACACAGAATGCTGGTGTTGCCAAAAAAAAAGAGAAAGAAAAAAAAGGCAAGGCAAGGCAAAAAGCCACCCCCCACCACCCCCAAAAAAACCCAGGCATTCCATGTATTCACATCATGGTCTCTTGTGAGATTTTTCTTTTTAGATTCCTTGCATGAAAAAGCAAATTATCCATATGGAGTGCTAAATTTTCTTCTAAAACATATTTAGTCTAGGGGTCTACTGTGCTGAAGACTGTGTTCAGTCAGCACCCTTGATTGCGTTCTCCTTCTTCATGTGGTAATGCTCTTAATAACCTCCCTGTAAGGCCTGTGTAATGTCCTGCCATGTGATGTGCTGACAGAGTGTTGGTACGGCCAATCTAAGCACTTCCATCTTACTTTCTGAGTAAAATCCAATCTCAATTTAAGATTCAGATTGATTAGAATGTTTTATATGGTTACCATATGTATTCTCTTACATGTAGAATAACCTGTTGTCTTTTTATAATACATAGAGCTTTCATCTTCGGGAGCTGGGGCTTCATCATATGAAGGTTCATAATCGCAACTTGGAATATAATATGATTCTCTGTCCTTTATCCAAACTAATATTTCCTATGAATGAAAATACTTAAACTATACACATAAATGTGAACAGCTACGATTATTAAATTGATATTTGTGGTCATAATTTTGTCCTACTTGTGTACTGAAACATGATTGCAAGAAATTGCATTCGGCTTTTGCATGGATTTATTTCAAAGTTTTGCATGTATTTGTTTAATTTATTACATAACTCACAATACTTAAGATATACTTTCAGGGACAGTGGAAACAATGCTTGGTGGTGTAAACCCTAACTGGCTCTCTAGATTTAATGAGAGTTCATAAACAAGTTTTATCTATGAAAACTGACACAATGTACCTTTGACAGATTGGTCTTTGCATCAGGTTCTGTGTCTGTTTTTTCAAATAAACACACTAAATCATGCTTCATATAAATTTGTGCAATATGAAGGAAATGTCTCTGAAAGGTCTCCAGTTGGCCCTTACAATTGCTTTGTTTCCTCACCCAGCAGTTAAATCTTCATAACACAGATCCCCATGCACAACTTACCAAGAAAATCAGGAACTGCTTAGCCAAAATACTTTTACATTTCTTTGCTCAATTGTGCATTATACCTAAAAAAGCCATGCTGCTCCATGAGGTAAAAAGCAATTATACTGTCAAATTTACTTTTAAAATTTTTTTATTCAAGCATAATCTATCAGCAGCTATTGTGTGTGTGTGAAAAATGGCATTTATAAATAAATAAAAATCCTAGTTTCCTCATTTTCAGTGCATTTACTTGCAAAGGGGTGAAATTTCCCCCCATCGTAAAAAATGTGGGGGATACAGATAGGAGTGATTCAAACTTCTGCCTCCATGCTTTCCTTGATAATGTATAAATTTCTGCACTTTGGGAGCATTTTGAGCTGTGACTTTAGGATGCTAGGGCATTGTTTGAATATTTAATTGCAATATTATATCTTGGCAACTGTTCTAGAACACAGTAATGGGCACTGGTTCAGCTCCTGGCTGCCCACTGCTCTTTCTTCAGTGGGCCAGCTTTGCCCTAATGGATGAAAGTTCCTGTTTCCAGTGTACTCATAGCACTGGGAGAGTTGAAGGATCGGGAGAATATGTAGACAGAAATGGTCATTTACACCACATTTAAACTCTCTTTATATCCGCAGACTAACATGTTCTTATTTTACTAACAACTAATATTTAACATTGTAGTTTGTTGCAATTAGAATTCATGTTCACATCACAGAGTTCCTAATAGCTATGGTATATTCTAATCATGATATTTATCTACTAGTAAATACCGGAGAAATGGAAGTGGGTTTCTTACCAACATTTGGGCCTTGTTACCTGAACCTTTATGGAAGTCCAAGAGAATATACTGGATTCCCAGATCCATATGATGAGTTAAATTATGGGAAGGTTAGTTTATCTTTCTGGATGTATCACAATGGTGAAAATCAATAAAGTTTTCAATGACGCAACTGCTTCCATCAGTGGAATGCCAGAGGAGTGGTCATGTGTTCTCTGTAGGCCCTTCATGCACCCTCAGAATCTACTCTGGAGTTCTCTTTCAGCAGATGTGGTTTATTAGTATTATATGTAACATCATCTTTTAAAAAGATCTCATGTTTTTCCCTCCCAGAAAGTTGTTCTGTTTATACAGAAAGTATTTTATTTCAGTTTTTATTGTTTTAATTTATTCTGAGCATCATGTGTGTTCACTGATTTTTGCATCAAATTTAATGAAAATGAAAAACCTAGGGAGGCAGTAATATTATAGAATTAATTTTCTCACATCCTAAATTTGAAGAATTGATGTTACTTTTGGCCAATAGACATTCTGAGATCATAGGTGGTATGAAGAAAACATAACTCAGTGAAAAGTACACATTGCAAATTTGTTTATTAAGCAAAATCTAATATTAGAACTTGTTTTAAAAAATAGTTCTGTTACACAGGTTCACTGTAGGGGTATAATTAGTCATATTATGCTTTTCAAAGATTTCAGACAGATTACATTGTGTTTACATTCTGACATTTTCCCTCTTTTAATTCTTTGTATTACTGTTGTTGCTTAGAAATTTTATAAATTCTGTAAATTGCGGTGTTTATTTCCTCATGTAGCAGTTATTGTACTTTGTTTTATATTGTATTTTATTATATCCTGTATTTTGCATTAATGTATTTTGTAAACCACCCTGAGATCCTTTAATGGCTAACTGAGGGTATAGAAATTTAACAACAACAACACCAACAATAGCAGCTGCGCTTTCACCTACAAATTAATATGTTGAATAGGCAGAACTCCTACCAGTCTTAATTACATGTCTCCCTTTTTCCCATGGGGCTAATGTCCAATCCACAACAAAACACTAATGTGCAATGCATAATAATGGCAGGAGAATTATAGTGCAAAAAACATCTCTTTCAGTGTGAGGGCCAACTACCATTCCAGATCCATTCTTGACAGGTGCAGTCCAGTGATATGTGTGACCACTCAAGTGAAGGGTGAGGGGATAAAAATTCTAAACTAAGCTAAATTAGGAGAGATGTTGACATTTTCGAATGGGGAAAACATTGCATAAAAACTACAAAACCGTGAATCCTTGGTGGTTGATGGAAAGGGCTAGAGCTAGGGGAATCCTTAGCACCCTGTCCTCCTGAACATGCAACTTTTTAAATGCTTTGACTGAACATTTATTTCAGGTATGGTAATATCAAATGTTGAGGCATGGTGTTCTAATATATGGTATTCCAAACTTCTAATATAATTCAAGAAATTACTTCAATGTTGATTCAGTGTTAAAAATTAAATATGGTGATTTCTCTTGTGCCAACAGTAACTGTACCTCTGTACAATATATAGAACACACATTTCCAAGATAGACTGGACTGTATAAGTATGCAAAAGTAGGCTTCATGTAAGAGATGGCTGCCACTTGCCTACTTCCATAGATTGATTCAGTAGCCTGTACTGTGTGTGCATGTCCCCATAAAGGGGACATGGAATAGCTGGAATTAGCTATTTAGGAGGCACAACAAGGGGATTAATTTACCTTCCTTCCTCCCTGTCAAACACTTGGCTGGTGAGATTCCAACCTGTTAAAAACATGCACAGGATCAGTTTGATTAAAAGCTGCAGTCCTGTACCTGATGATACATGCTGAAGGATGCTTTATATGTTTCAATAGTGACACTGAAATTATTCCCTGAAATGTTTCCTCATGTGTAGTATCAGTAATAAAAGGAAGAATAATTTCATTTTCCAGGTGGTGTTCCTAATGTAAAATATTATGCTAACTTGGCAGATTAATGTATCCTGTTTGTGTTACAGGGAGAAGGAGTAGCTTATAGAGGCAGAATCCTAGTTGAACTATCTACGCTACTGGATAGTAAACCCCTCAATAAAAAAATTGAAATGATACCCAGTGATGATCTACTAGTTGTAGAAGTAAGTACTATTTTATTTCTTTTTTGTTTCTACATAAATAAAAGTAGTTGTCTTTGGGAAGAAGAGGAAGACCCATGTCTGGCAATTGGATAACATTCCCACTGAACAGCACAACTTCAGATTCCTAGGGCTGCCCACCTCTCATGGATCCCCCCTCCCCCATTTGAAGGCCGCTAAACTGAAACCCTCTGTCTCTTTATACTCCATGATGTGGTTTTTCAAGCCATTGGTTCCCTGGCTTGCTGCCTACCCTACCAACATTGTGAACCATTTTTGGCTTACTGGTTTTTTCTCCTCACCTTTTTATTTTTGTTTTTTCCCCATGGAGAGTGCAGTTTCCAGTTTGACAGCTGGATTTCACACTCACAGTTTTGACAGCCACTAAATGCCCCTTAAAAGTGCCCAAGCAGGGCAAGCATGTTGTAATTCTTTTTTTATCCTGTAATCAGTACTGGTAGTTGTGTACATTATGTGTTTTATTTTATTTTTTTCATTCTGTTTCAAGTGTGTGCTTGTGCATTCATAGATGTCTGAAAATAGTTGACATTGTTTGGACAATATCCAGGGAGGTACCTGCTGACAAAGTGCTACAGGTGCCAATCCTGGACATTGACATTCACCCTTTGGCTTAGTCTCACATCTGTCCAAAGGTATGCAAGTGATCTGTACTCATGAAAAGGAACCGGTAGGATTAATACTTCCTTTGCAAGAAGATACTAACTTTTTTTTCTTTCTGAACTTGACTCGCTTTTCTGCTTCTTCCTGAACCTTTTGGCATCAGGACACGGAAAAGTGCCACCCTCTTTTAAAAGGAACCAGAATTTTGACAGCCCCAGGGTCTTTCAAAGTGTTTGTTTTTTTTAATAAAGCTCCCCATGGTTTCTTGACTGGGATATAGAGAGGCATATGTTTCTCTTAAAAGGTGATGGCTCATACTATTAATTGTATCATCATATCTGTTGGAACCTGCAGAAATATCAGCGCAGAAGAAAATACAGCCTCAGTGCAGTGTTTCATTCTGCCACCATGCTGCAAGATATTGGTGAGGCCATCCAGTTTGAAGTTAGCATTGGGAATTATGGCAATAAATTTGATACCACCTGTAAGCCATTGGCATCAACTACTCAGTACAGCCGTGCTGTGTTTGATGGTAAGTACAGCGATAGCACAGAACTAGCAAGACATATTTGGTGGGGGAGAGGGGAAGAACTTTACTTGTACAATGCTGTGATTAGTTACATTTATGGAACTTTGACCAAAAATAATATGGGTATTTTCAATATATGCAGAGCTTCCATTGTAAGCCTTAATATTTTATTCCTCTTTTTAAAGCCACAAAATTAAATGGGAGGAGAAATGTCTCAGTTCTATGGATATATATTTAAATTTGGCCCTTTTGGTGCATTTGAAACGCACAACAAATGAAATCATTACAAAAGTTTCATTTTTAAAGTTCCTTCAAGGCTCTTAGAGTCTGCTTGCTTAGCAGAAGCAGAAGCCTGGACACAGGCTGTGAAGAAGGCTGTTGAAATCCAAAATGGTATAGCATCCCATGGTAATAAGTTAGATCAACTTTCCCCAACCTGTTGCCCTCCAAATGGAATACAATTCCCACAAGCTGTGCTGTCTAGGAGGTTGTGGAGGGTACCAGGTTGGAGGATTTGAGATTAGATAAAGCAATGATAATGGTTGTTATGTGATTTGGAGAATTACTTGCCTAAACCCTTATTGATCAAGTAAAGAATGCTGTTGATGCTGTTTTCTTTGTTATCTGCGAGATAATTATTGGGGTCTTTCTAGACAATTTGTAACACAACAGATACCCTCTTGCTGCTTACTTGTTGCATAGCATCTGACTATCTTCCTTTGTGGCAGGCACAGACTAAGGGAAATGATGCTTTTTTCCCAACACACAATTTATAATGGAGCTTTTGGCAGCTCACTGGCTTGTTGTGATTTAGAGCTTTTCTGTGCAAGGCATTTGTTGTGGATGCAACATTCCCTCCTCACCTTTGAGCCTCCAGTTTTGCTTTTGTATGAAAATGGCACTTTCTGCAAGTTGTTCTACAGCAGGAGAAATGAGGTGTTCTCTGTAATGGCAAAAGAATATGCAATTTCTGCTTTTGCATTTTCAATGTACCACAACATCACCTAAAAGTTAGATAGTGGAAATGCAGGAAGAGAAGCAGTCCCTGTGTGGTGCTTAGATCTCAGTACTGCAGGGGAATAGAAAGTAGATGCAGTGGATTCACAACCTTGTGTAGAAAGGCCATGTAAGCACTGTCCTGTGCAAATGTACCCACCAAAACACCCGTTGGGTGAAGTCTGGTCTAGACCTACTGTCAAGTGGAGTGAGGAAGCTGCTGCATATTTTAAAATAGTGCTAAAGGATAGAAACTTTAATGGCAGCTAAAAATGTCATCAAAGTTATTTAATGGGGGGGGGGGTTGTTGTTTTTTTTAAAGCCCTGCCCCATTATTCACCTTGATTTTCTGTCTCAGGAAGGAAAATGCCTTTGACATATGTGATGGAAGTTGCATAACTGTTGAAATGCAAGATAGTATATATGCCCCTTAATAAGAGGACACATGCTTCAAAATAACTCTTCATACATAAATGTTTCACCTCAGGAAACTACTATTACTACCTGCCGTGGGCAAACACAAAGCCAGTAGTGACACTGACTTCGTATTGGGAAGATATCCATCATAGACTAGACCCTTTGAATCTTATTCTTGGCATCACAGAAAAATTAGTAAGTCATTCGCAAGTATTTTTGTTATATGTAATTAATTTACACAAATGTTGTGACTATCTGAAAGGAGTATGCATGCATTATCCATGAACTAATACCCATTTTGTAAGAATAGGAAAGTTTGTCTCCTTAAATATAACAATGTCATCACAAAGGCTGGTGTGAAACTAGACCTCTGGTCTCTCTTCAGGCTAAACCAATGTTAAATTAAAGGCATAGCATGTAGTTGATCCTATCTTTTTAAAAGCATTAGCATAGGTGCAAGGGATTTAGGATGAAGTGGTGGGGGGTTAACCTTCCCATCCAGCTGCTTTCCCTCCTAATTTTGATCCCACCCCAGAAGACACTAATTGGTGCCAATTACTCCTGGTCTGTTTCCAGGCCAATTTCAAAGTGCTGGTTTTGACATTTAAAGACATTCCCACAGTTTGAGATCCATATACTTGAAGGATCATCTCTCTCCTGTTTATTCACTAAGATTATCTTCATAGGATCTTCTCCAGGTACTCCCAATGTTTGCAGTTCAGCAGGTGGTTACAAAGGAAGAGGCATTCTTGGTATTGGTGTTCCATTTACTGAATGTTATCCCTAAGGTGACTTCCCTAGCAGATGCTTTGGTGTCTTTCTAGTGCCAAGTGAACAGGCCTTTTTGCTACCAAGCCATTTAACCAGAGAGTTTACTCCAGCTGATGATTTTATGCTGGATTTTGTAATGGATTATATTATTTTTTTGAATTCTTAGCCACCTTGGGAAATGTTTTGAAGTGCAACATATAAATGCTCATTATAAACAATAAAGAAAGCAAGAATTTGCAATGCATTTTGTGATTTGTGTGCATTTACCCAAACTTTGCCTATTTGTATCTCAGTGTTGTAATGGGTTTTATGTCATTTAGTTTAAGATCAATGTGCTTTTAAGAAAAAGTGCTGCTGTTCTTTTACATTCCTTCATTTCAAGCTTTGTGAACAGTCCAAAAGCTAGAAGCTGTGATATATGAATGAAAAAGATTGAGAGAGTACAGAGCCAGCCCTGCCATTTGACAGAATAAGTCAGGTGCCTCAAGCAGCTGATTTATGGTGTCATGAAAAATAGTGAGTTCTTGGCTCTCAAACTAATTATATGCATATAATGCACTGCCAGGGAAAGGAACAGGTACTTGTGGGATTTTCTGTCTCAGATGCCAAAACAACATGATTGAATAACCTTTCAGTTAGGGTGGAACAGAATTTGTTCTGCCTCAGGCAGCAAAATCTCACAGGCCAGTTGTATTTCTTTTCTTTGTGCAGACAAGAAATAGAAGAAAGCAGGCTGTCTGTACAACTGGGATTATTTAAGGTGCAACACCATGTATGTTTAGATAGAAAGAAGTCTTACAATATTTCACAATAACCAGGAAGCCACCAAATAATTGGTGCTCAGAGTAAGGGCCCTCTGGGATCCCAGGCAAGGTAGATTTGGTTCATGAAACTGTGGTTCCGCAACTATGCCCTCCAAGGACCTGCTTGCTGTATTTGGAGGTAACTTATATGTGTATGTGGTTCAGCTTTACAAATAGTTTTCCATGACATAGAAAAGCAAATCACAATGAAAAATGAATCCAACTTACTAGTTCTCAGTATACCCCACTCTTTAAATCCATAGAAAACAAATTTAGCAGCCTTAAAATCAGGAATACAGGAGAAGATATCGGACAACCAGTTAGCTGAGATATGGTTGAAGCTAATTGATGAACTTTTGAAGGACTTGAGGTAAGTTGCTTCTTACGTTTCCTCTCCGCAAGTGCCCCAGAAATCAGTTTACAGAATCCAGACCAGCAGTTTCTTCTGCTTGTCAAGTGTTCCAGTTGCTCAGGGAAGGAACAAGGCTCTGAAGCCCCACTGCCTTGCTGACTAGAGGAACCACATGCCTTACACTCCACTGCTTGTGTGTTATTACTGGGAAATGGAGTCCTGCTTCCATAGCAATTTTCATAAAAAGTTTGTTGCTAAGAAATAATCAGATGTTTTTCTTTTTCTTTTAGTAAGGAATTCCCTTCCCTAGAAAACAAACATAATGTCACAGTCCTTGATACACAGATCCACAAACTGCGGCTCAAATCAATTGGCCAGATTCAGAAGGCAGCAGTGAAACTGAGGAATGAAGCCATGGATGTGCAGGGCTCCCTGGCTGAAATTGAAGAATGGCTGGATAGATTAACATTACTGTCTGAAGAGGTTTGTTGTCTTTCCTTTTACCTGAGCATGTGTGCATGGGCATGCACACAGTCCAACTGCTTTGGAGAATTGTAGATCTAAGGCAGTTGCGTGTTTGCTGCATGTGTGTGCGTGTGGGTGCATTTGTGTGCTCTGAAATCTTTTGGAGCATTCTTCCAAGAATTTGTAGCTCCAGTATTTGTATTATTGTAGGACTGAAAGGACAGTCCTTTTGATGGTGGTGCCTACTTGTGGAATTGTCTTCCCATAATATTGAATATTAGTAGAAAGAAATGATATTTTTAGACAATCTCTGTCCACTCTTTATTCTCCCTGATTGAACAGCCTCAAAATAGCATGCCTGATGTGATTGTTTGGATGATACGAGGGGAGAAGAGGCTTGCTTATGCACGCATTCCAGCTCATGAGATTTTATATTCCACTACATGTGATGGAGGATCTGGAAAACATTGTGGAAAGACCCAGACCATATTTTTAAAGGTAGTGTAATTCTAATCATATGCATTTGTGCTTAAAATATAGGACTTTAGCTGTGGCCTGAAAAGCATTCATTTTAAATAGATGTATATGTGTATACACAACTTTACATTGATTGTGGGTGTCTAATTTGCCCCAACTAGCACTTCCGAAGACATGTGCCATGTGATGAGGTGAATTCATTAAATCAGCAGAGGCTCCACTAGGCCCAAAGCAGTCATCAATATGCTTCACTGCTCAGGCCTACCTTTACTAATCAATTTTTGTTTCAACTGTGAATTGCTCATTTAATTAGCAGTGTCTGGTGAGGCAGTTTGCTAAGCTACTGTTTGGTGACATGGATGAAAAGGAGTTTTCTGCCCTTACCTTTTATTTCTGGGTAGCAGTGGTGGAATGGGGTGACACCAGTGCCTGCACTGTGCAAGGACACAGAGATTGAATTGGGGAAGTGTTCGTCACATCATACATGCAAGTTGCTATCACCATTTGGAATAACCTGTACTCAGCCACTGTATATTGGCACAGCTTACCATCTCTCAGCACGAAAACATAAGGGCAGGAAGATCGGTCCCTCTCTGATGCTACACCATGGCTGCTGGCATGTTTGCTACTGAACTGCAGCTCTCTAGCCAACACTGTATTCATGTATTCCTATCTGCTTTCAGGCCTTCAGTTCTTCTTCAGTTGATATCTTGTAGCCAGCAGGAATTCTTGAAAAGTGGACCCACTCAGAAACATGAGGAGCAGTTCCTCTGAGGAATTGTCATTTCCTTTCACCATCTAAAGTAGGGCTGGAGAATCAGTTGGACTACAGCTCCCATCTGTGCTTGCAGAGGGGAACTGATGGAATTGGAGTTCAAAAATGTCTGAAGGACCAGAGGTTCTCCATGCCTTTACTAAAACTCAACTTTGTGCTTCCAATTTTAATTTGGGATAGAAAGCGAAATGTCTCAGCTGTTAGTAGTAGAGGAAACACATCGCATACCACAACTGATATCCAAGATTCTTATGATAAGGAAATATTAAGAGTGATTAGCATCTCCCAGTTCTCAGAACTGGGCAGGGCAAATGTATTGTTGGACAAGGGTTGGGAATGGAATAACAGGAAAAGAATTAACAATTTGTCTGTGTTTGTTTCCTGAAAGTTGGAAAATCAAGGACAAAGTTCCACTTAAAAGCTGTTTTGGGGTATTGCTGCACTCCCTATATTTTGCTACTATTTTGAAGTAAGTCTTAGCTTAGGAAAATTCTGGGCAGGCATAGACATGGCAATCTACTCCCATGGCACAAGGTTATTAGTATTCTTAGCGCTTATATGTCAGGAAGTTTAACTGTTCCTTTTTAAAATATATGTTTCAGTACCCACAGGACAAAAACAATGGCATCAAAATACCTGCACAGTTGCGAGTTAATTTTTGGCTTGGCTTGAGTGCCTTTGAAAGGAAGTTCAATAGCTTTGCTGAAGGAACGTTCAGTGTCTTTGCAGAAATGGTATGTGTGCAAATGATGAATATATTTTCTTGGAGCATGAACTTTTCTACTTAGCATTACGTTCAAACTCTGAGTCAAGGCTCCAGGGATTTGGGTTGTTTGTTTGTGTGTTTGCTTCTTCTACATATTTCTCCAGGAGTTAGTTATGAAGGTACATAGTCCAGCAGGAAGTTCTCTAATACAACCACCACTGAAATATATGGGATCTATGTGAGAACACGCTCATATCAATGGTGCCTGTGCAGAATCCATTCATTTCAAGAGGTGGGGAGATCTGTAGGAACAGCTGGGATGCTGCTTCTACATCCCAAAATTCGCTATCTGAGGCAATTGTCTCGCTTTGCCTAATGGTAGGGACAGCTCTGATATCATCCTAGTGCTTGATATCCAAACAAAGAGATGCAGAGTTTGTTGTTGCTACTCAATTAAGAGTGAGGGTTTTGCCTGCTCATGCTCAATGTGCCTTATGTTTCACAGTTCTTAAGATCCTGGCTCAAATAAAGCCCTCTCTTAGTCCCTGCAAATAATTTGATATCATTGAAGCCATTATGCAAATGGATGGGCCTTATTTGTAAGGCAGCAGGTTTAGCATGAGTCTTCTCACACAATTGGCACGGTTTCAAGAAACTTAGGTTCCCTGCCCACCCCTGGAATCAGCATTAGGTTTACTTCTGAGGCCCCATAGTGCCCCATCCCTGTGCGTAGAATGAATATGTCATTATTGTGCATAATGGGTGTCATTATGATGTTGCTCACAGCCCATCGGGCTTTATATCTGAAATGTGGAATGTCACTCATGGTCCTTTTAGCTGCTGTGAGTTGCCTCTTGTGTAAGGCAATAGGAGAAAAGGCCCTGACTAGTGGGGAGGAGTCATAGCATAATGTACATACTTTACATCAAGAAAGCCCTAGGTTCAAATCTCCAGCATTCCCAGTTAAAAACAACTAGGTGGCAGGAGGTGGGAAAGTGGATGAGACCCTGAAGAGTTAGTGCCAGCCCTGGTAGGATAGTATTGACTGATTTGGACTTGAGGTCTAACTTTGAATTCAGTTCTTCTTTATTGGCTCTGTGCATCACACATATGGGCTCTTGAGCCTGCATGGGGCCTGTTCTTGGGAAGATTTTCCTAGCTGAGCATTTTGGTGAGAGCCCCACCCCTTCCCCCCTGTAGTATATAAAGGTAGGGCTCCCACCCTTTTCCCAGTTCTTTTTCAGCCATTGTTCTGGGATCCTCAGGTACTTTGTCCTAGCACTTTCCTCACTTACCTCAGCTTTAAAATACCACTTTTTCTGATTTAACTCAATTTTAAAAAGAGAAATAAAAATGTGAAAGCTTACAATGGAAGTTTGGTATAAATTGAAAATACATTATTTTTGGTCAAAGTTCCATAAATGCGACAGCTTCATACAACCCACCCACCAACCCCACTTCACTGTTGGCAACCATAATGCTATCCTTAAAAAAACAAACAAACCTGAGTTTTCCATCCACACCAAACAGGTAAGGGTCAGGCCACTAACGGCCATTTCTCCCCAGTTCAGAGGCCAAAACATCAGTCTTACAAGAACTGGGAAAATGGCGTGGGGGGGGGGGACCTTTATATACTAGAGTTTGGGCTCCCACCAAAACACTCAGCTAGGAAAATCTTTCTGACAACAGGCCCCATGCAGGTGCCAAGCTCATATGTGTGAATGCACAGATAACTAATTGAAGAACGTCAGTTACAGGTAAGCAACCTGACTTTGTCAATGAGATACTGAACATATACGACCTTCCTTCTGTCTTGAAAAGGGATTACACAGATTCACAGAACAGCCAGATCTGAAGGGGCCAGGAAGGCTATTGAATCCAACCCCCTGCTAGTGCAGGATGCCACTTACACCATCCTGATCAGATAACTGTCCAATTGCTGCTTAATTAATTCTTACTCTCCCCCACCCTGTTTTTTTTTAAACAGTATGAAAATCAGGCACTTATGTTTGGAAAGTGGGGAACTTCAGGACTTGTTGGCCGCCACAAGTTTTCTGATGTCACAGGAAAAATAAAACTGAAAAGAGAGTACTTTTTGCCTCCCAAAGGATGGGAGTGGGAAGGCGAGTGGTTCGTTGATCCTGAAAGGAGGTCAGACATTTGTTTAGATTCTTCGTAACATATGACAAAGGGAGGAAGGACTTATGTAATTTCTTACTGGGGAAATTTAAAAACAGATGCCAGAAAAATAAAAAGCAAAACTTCTCAATGCCAGCAGCACTGGTCACCTGAGCCCCATGGGCATGACTCTTCCAGTCAGTGATAGTGTCTTCTATACAGGTCGGGTTCCTTGTGGCCACCACATTGCTCAGGTAATCTGTGATGGCATCCAATCTAGCTCCTTCTCTTAACCTTCCCTTCTAGCACTGTTCGATGGATCATAGAATTGTAAAATTGGAAGGGGCCAAGAAGACCATCAGGTCAACCCCCTGCTCAGTGTAGGACTTCAAATTAAACCATCCCTCTTCGACGGCTTTCAAGCTGCAAGAGAGTAAAAGAGTAAAATTGAAAAACCACACCAATTGCAAGCATAGTCCTAACCGTGATCAAGATATCAAAAGTGAGCCAAAGGAGTACATGCTGTCTTTCCTGTTCCATCTCCCTTGGAAATAAAGTCCCTTTCCTTCCCTAACTACTTTGCCTTAAGGATTACATTAGTAGCAGTGTAAACTGTGTTAACTGCTACTAAACCTAAGCAGAATTCCTAAGTAACCAAGGTTTCAAGATGTTTTTAAATCCCAGTGGCTGAGATAAGCAAGCTCATACATGTTCCAAACAGCACAGGTTGAGAGCATGAGACTGGGACTCAAGCAATCTGGGTTCAAGTCCCCACTTAGCTATGGAGCCAACTGGGTGACTTTGGGTCAGTCTCAGACTTTCAGCACAACCTACCTTACAGGGTTGTTGTTGTGGGAATAAAATTGTAAGCAGGAGGAGGTAAATGATGTAAATTGCTTTGAATTCTTAAATAAATGAGTGATTGAGTGACACAAAGCAGTAGATGCTCCATGGGCTACATGTTCCCACCCTGTCCTCTAGTTTGGCCCTCACACTGCTGAAATTAAGTGGTAGTGGCAAAAGCAAAGCAAAGCGAAACAAAACAAAAAACATTTTTGCAGAGGCTTTGCAGCCTCTATTACAGTACCACCAGTTTTTTGCCACCATTGCAGGAGGGGAAGAATGGCCTTCAGAGCCCAAAATTGCCAACTCTTGGCCTAAAACTTTTATTCTTCTGTTCCAAGTTTTCTTGCTATGGCCTTTTATATTTTATGAAGGAATTTCTATTTCTGGTCAGTAAAAGGTTAATATTGTGGCATGATACTGGAGATACAAGCTGTCAGTGCATCGGTTCATTGCTTTTCCATGCCTAACAAAACGTCTCTTTCTGGTTTCATAGCTTGCTGACAGAAGCAGATGCTGGTCATTCTGAATTTACTGATGAGGTATATCAAAATGAGAGCCGCTATCCTGGAGGAGAATGGAAAGCAGCTGAAGAGAGTTACACAGACCTAGTAAGGACTTGTTTATGATGAATCTGTCTTTTGAGCTTTGCAGTTTATCCTTAAGAATAGCAGCATCACTTATACACTCACCCAGTGGGCTGGGTTCAGAAACAAGGGAGAACACCATTCGTGCAATAGGGATTTCCTGCTCCTTCTGCATGCTGCAACCCCCTGTGCTCCCCAGAAAGCCATTCATAAGGCTCAAGAGGGCCCCTAAAATGATGCATAATGGCATGAGGAGCTGCAACAGGATTTAAAAAAAACATTTTAATGCATTCTGCATATCACTAAATTAAAACCAAATGCTGGGAATGAGTTCAACATTCAGAGGCTACATTCACCCGTAAAAGCTGGTTTGTGTCTTACGTCCTGTCCCAATGTTTCTAATCCCAGAGTAGTAACCGATGTGCCAAAAAACACATTCAACCCTATTGCCATTTACCTACAGCTAAATTCCATTGAGCTTCTTTCTTTTGCAAGGTGTCCTACTTTGCATCAGAAAATAAAACTTTTGGTATTTAAAGAAATGCTATTGCATAGATTTATAGTTTTGTTGCTTGTGCAAGTCTTTCATCTTTCTAAGTTTGGTGTGTGTTCCCTTTTCTGGAAAGAATGGAGAAAAAGCACCACCACCAAGTGAAATAACCTGTCCTCCAGGTTGGATGTGGGATGATGATGCTTGGGTGTATGATATCAATCGAGCAGTGGATGAAAAAGGTAAAGATTAAAATGTACAGGATGCTTTGTATGTGATATGCTAATATTGACAGTCTCAGAGTGATTGGACTAGAGACAGGGAAAAAATTTGAAATAAAATGTTTGGGGTGGAGTTGTAATGCTGTATACAAACTAGATGCCATTTGGACCTCACACACCTATGTGAACTGATTATTGGATCCAGTTATGATAACTACTTTTACATGTTTTGACTTTTTTTAGGTTGGGAATATGGAATTACCATTCCCCCAGACAATAAACCAAAGACCTGGGTTGCAGCGGAGAAAATGTATCATACCCACAGAAGAAGAAGGCTGGTTAGAAAACGCAGAAAAGATCCAAACCAAACAACTACATCAAGGGTAAGACAATTAAACACATATTGCAGCCAAACACAATAAACATATTGTGTAGACGGGTTGTGAAAGAAGGATGAAAAATAAACAAGAGACCTGGAAATACATAAATTGTATTTTTTTTTTCAATTAAACTTACAGTTTAGCTGCAGTAGATCATGCTTTTGCAATTGACTTCCAGGTTACCACATCATATGAAGACCAAGAAGGATGGGAATTTGCATCATTGATTGGATGGAAATTTCATTGGAAGCAGCGCAGTTCTGATACTTTCCGCCGCAGACGTTGGAGGAGAAAAATGGCTCCTTCTGATACACATGGTGCAGCAGCCATCTTTAAACTTGAAGGAGCTCTTGTACGTATAAACAGTCTAACATTCAGACCTCTTCACTATAACTTAACTTCAACATTAATTGTAATCTTAAAAGTTTAAGTTATGGTAAGCAAGTGATGCCTAAGGTAGTTGAGGACTTGGATAAAAGGGCAGTGAAATTAATAGCTCACCTAACACTGTATGGAAAATGTTGTGGCAAAATACTGAAAGTCTTTCCTCTAAACACAAGAAGTTGTTGGGATTTTCTACCATGCCTTATAGAATAATTGGAAATGACATATAGGGAGAGGCTATGAAATGCTAAATTGTTTATTTTGTTCTTGTGATAGCAATTAAAGCAACTGGTATTTGTTTTTGTCTTTTCACAAAAAAGAAATAAATAAAATGTGTGTGTCTGTGTAAGAAAAAAGATACCAAGCAATATTACAGTAATATAGCATATAGTGTCAACATCTAACCAGTTCTTGAGGAAGTGATAATTTCTATCTCCTTTTGCCATAATTAAATCAATCAAATCTCAATTAAGGTTCAACACAAATTACTATAATTTATCAAAACAAGTATAAATAATGTCATGACTTTAGCATGAAGTACAAGTCTCTAATAATATTTTTACAAATTATTTTCTTAAATATTAGTTAAATTTCTCATGGTAAGCTTTACATTTATTAATTTTATCACATGTTCATCACATATGGTAAAAAGTCCCATATATTCCTTTACAAAGCAACTAGTGGTTTCATGCATACCACTTCTCAGGGACATAGGAAGATGCCAAGTTAGACCATTAATCCATCTTGGCTTATATATTTGGCCCTGTCTGGCAATGGCTTTTCAGGGTTTTAGGCTAGGACTTTTCCAGCTGGTGATTGAACTGGGTCCTTCTGCAGGTAATCAGATTAGAGAATTGGATATAAGAGAAGGTATCCAGTATCTCATTTTTATGTTTGGCTATTAAAGTTCAAGTATATACAGTCACCCCAAACTGTCTGCTTTCAGCTTTGGAGGACAAGGTTATTAATAGATACTAGCCTTGCTGGATATGCACAATCTCTGTGATCAGTGACAGAATGCCTGCATGCACCAGGTGCTGAGAAGCTTGGGCTGGCAAGATTCTTGTACCCATCCTGCTTGAAGGATCCTATAGACAGCTGGTTTGCCACCATGTGAACTGAATGCTAAACCGGATAGACTTTTACTCTGATCCAACATGGCTTTTCTTATGTTCTTATGTAACCTTACCCTGGCCTGGGGACAATTACATGTGCTATGTTAAGCTTGTGGTTTAACGTCCCATCTCTTTCCCCGCTCCCACTGTAAGTGGCTGCTGGTGGTGGGTAGGAGCCAAGCAAAACTGGGACTGCCTCACAAAGGAAAGGAGGTTAATACTTTCCTTCCATGCTGTGGTCCTGATGAAAATTGCCCTCTGAAGCTGCTTTTTGCAGTGAAAAACAAACACTCCTATCAGCATTAATTATCCTGCACACCAATATCACATACACATTCCCTTCTTTCCACTGCATGCACAGGCATTCTGCAGTGTATGCACACCCATTATCCTCATGCATGCTTTGAAATGACTGGATTGTGATTTAGTGCTTAGGAAACCCTAAGTACATCCAGGGAAGAGTACATAAAGCTTGGAAATAACCTTACTGGTTAGGATGTAAGAAGCTCAGTTCCAAAAATGTGGATATTGCAAGCATGGAAGAATGGCCTGGGTTTAGTTTATTGTTACAACAATCTGTTTCTGAGAATCAGTTTTCTGCATAAATGAACTGTGTTCTCTTGTTCTGGCATTTACTGGGTAAGTTTGATATAGGAACCTGACTTTACCTTTTAAACAATCTAGAGAGCAAACTTGTGCTTTTGTCTATTGGCAGAAGATCAGTAGAGCAAAAGGGAGTGATGGAGGCAATCTTTACTTTTCCACTCTCCTTTCTGTTGTTTTTCTCACTAGACCTTTGAGTGCATCTAGTAGAGTCACAGGGATGGACGAGACAGAAGCTGGGAGGTTCCAGGTCATTGCCTCAGCGCACCCTTCCACACCTCTTCATTTGCTTTCATAGGTTCTCTTAAATGAGTAAAATATAATTTTTAAAAGATACTTCCAGGAATACAATTAATTCGGCTTTTCAATCAAGCTGGTCATTATATGAACCATGATGTAAAACCAGTGTGTTTACTTTTTTATTACTATTGTTTTCCATCCCTTTTTCTTTTTTGTATTATGTTTTTAAATATATGTATGCATGTATATTATAAGCCATGACACAAGAATTGTTTTTGGTTTAACTGTGTATAGTGCTTAATAAATCGCAAGGGCTTTATATCTTAGGGGGCTGATACAAGTATTGATGATGGAGACAAGAGCTCTGAGAAGGCAAAAGATACAGCAACACGTACATTTGGTGCAAACACGCCAATGGTCTCCTGTAACTTTGATAGTAAGTTCTTGTAAAATAACTTATTTGAGGACATTTTCATCTTTAAGGTGCCACAAACTTGGTTTTGCTGTATGACAAAGATCTTTTTCTGTTCCTCTTGAATCCCTGTTCATATGCTCAAAGTGCATAGCATCACGCATGTCTTTTTATTTTTTTCGATTTATATCTTGCCTTTTTCCTACAAAGGGCTCAAGGCAGCTTACATTATCTCTCCTCCTCCATCTTATCCCCACAACAACAACCCTGTGAGGTAGGTTGGGCTGAGAGACTGTGACTGGCCCAAAGTCACCCAGTTGGCTCCATGGCCGAGCGGGGACTCGAACCCAGATCCTCTGAGTCCCAGTCCCATGCTCTTAACCACTACACCACACTGTCTTTTGCCCTGTTAGAAGTAAAATACAAGGTGAAATTTGGAGTTGATACCTTGGAATTCATAAACTCACTTTGACCTTATGAACATTTCATTAAAATATCCATATGTCTTAAGACCAGTTCTCATGTTATCAGTCTGTCATAGTTGTAGGTCTTGCTTGGCAATGTCCCACAGTAGTCTGGTTAACCTTTGAATCCAGGAGATCATGTAAGAAGACTGAAAAGTGCAGTTGTTTCCTATAAGAACATTTCTTGCACTTGCAGGGAGGCAATGCTTATGTGAAAATAGCCACATCATTCAGCTCCTTCCATCGACTCCAGACGTTAAACTACCAAATGACATTGCTGGTTTAAATTCTAGCACACCAAAGGTATAGGTGTTTTGAGAGCCACTGTGGTTAGTGTGTTGGACTGGAGAACTGGTTCTAGTTCCAACTTGACCATGAAGCTCACTGGGTGACTTTGGGCTAGTCTTGGACTCTCAGTCTAACCTATCCCACAGGGCTGTTGTGAGGAAGTTGTTGTGATACTGTGTAAACTGCCCTGGGATCCTCACAAGAGAAAAGAAGCTAGGAATCAATCCATCTCATACTTGGTTTTCATTTTGTTTTCAACTTGTGCTAGCATGATTGTCTTGTCCAGTAAGTCTTGCCTTCTCTTGATGTGCCCATAATTTAACAGCTTCAAATTTGTCATTTTTGTTGGCAGGGAAATTTGTCCTGCTATACAGTTAATTAATACAAATACTATGCTAGGTACTGACCAGAAGTTGGGATTAGAACAATTCCTTCAGAGGATTTCAACCTATGGTGGACAGACAATCTATAGCAGACTATAGAGTGACCCAACTGTAGTACAGATAGACTGAAGGAATCCAGTGACAGTGATAAAGTTGAAGTAACAGCAGAACAGGAAAAGTTACCTTTTTATTTACATCTATCTCATCTAACTTTTCTTTCCTTAGGAGTCTATAGTTACCATCTTCGGTGTTATATCTATCAAGCAAGAAATCTTATGGCTTTGGACAAAGACAGCTTTTCAGGTACAAAGGGTAGAGGTGGGGCTCTATTCAATCCAAAGAACCTATGCATTGATAAATGCAAGTCCATTTATTGTCTGTAATTAATATAACTTGATTAATGACTGGCATTTGAAGCTATGCACTTCAATCTTTTATTACTAGAGGTTTGTAGACAAAGTTTTGGCCAGTTACTTCAAATCAATATGAAAATGTCAGTCTGAGTCACTTTCGTAAAACATTGTTATGTGCATTTCTTTTCTCTGTTCATTCTCATTTTAGCCTTCCATTCTTTCAAACTTTGCCTTCTCCTACTGCTCTTCCCCTTGTTCTCCTAGACTACTTAAGATGCAATCCTCCTATGCATGTTCATAAGTTCTACAGCTCCCAGCATAACCCAGTCAGCCATGCTTTGCCACATGCTAACTGGAGTAAGCTGTGAATCCAGATGTAGGAGTTCGTGGGGTTTTTAGCCAAAACATATGATTGTACTCTTAGTATTTGATATCCTCTTTCCTAGACTCCTGCCTTCATCTAGACACCCTTTCCTATAACCTTCTACATGTCCAGTCCTGCTCTGGAACCAGTAAAACCCAGCCAATAATGTAGTCAATGGAAGTCATAAGCTCCTCTGGCTGCCCAGCCCTCTGTCACCAAAAGCAGCTGAGCCAAGAATTTCTTTCAGGTTAAAGCTGGTACAAAAAGAGATTGGATTAACATTATAAAATAACATTGGATATGGGGGACAGGGCGTGTTAAGTTTAAGCCAGGTGTATTGTGCCACACTTGTAGCTTCTCTGTTTCATATGGAAAATACTGTATTATATGTAGTGTAGTATGTGTGAAATGCTAACACATAAACATTCTTGCTGAAATATTTCCTCTGATTTTTAAAAACCATCTTCCACTCAGCCATCTTCTTTCTTTTTCATTTTTGTAAACTTTTTGTAATAGTTTATCTATCAGAATTCAACCTATAGCAGAGAACCACAATAATAAGAATTTATTAGGAAAATGTTGTTTCATATGTGCAAGATGAGAAATAGAATTTCTTAGACCTAAATGCCAACTTTTTTATTTATTACTATGCTTATTGATGACCAAAATGAAGAACAAAACAAAAAGTTAAATAAAAGTATGTAGGACTCCCATGCAGTCCCTTGATAGGGGAGCCATTGGAGATGACCTCCAGCTAACCTTTTAAACAGCCCATGCACTGGGTAATAGCAATTTGTACAGGAACTGCTAATAACGATCATCAGAGGCTTTCTTCAGAGGCCTTAGTGATTCAGAAGTCTTTCTAATAGTGGGCCTGGAACCCTTTCATCCTTCACTTCTACCTTAAAAGAAGAGGGAACTATAAATAAGCAAGTTTTAGATTCTTGCCAGGTCAATTGTAAGGTTTGTAGAATGGATTGTTTAAATTGCAAATAGAATCATCCCTTTCTATTTATTTATGACTATAATGGGTCAGCAAAGTTAATATGAATTGGTTACCATACTTAGAAGCAATTTTAAAATGTTAAAATAATGAAAATCACATCTGAAGCACTCTTGTTTTCATTCACAAGGTAAAGTTCATACAGTGCAATACATACATTACCCTCTGCTGCACAGAGGCAGCTTAGTGTACATTTGCATGTTGCCATTTCTGTACTGACAAATTCATGGCATACAGCAAAATGTTTACAATACCGTAAACAGATTAAGATAGTCTTGATGGCTTGCAATGATTTGCAAAGAAGAGAGATGGAGATCAGATCAAACATACAGGTCAACAGCTAAAAGTCTGAAACAAATAAAAGAATAAAAAAATACATTTAAATCACTGAAAAACAAAATAACATTAAGACCACCAGCAAGTAAAGACTTCCTGGAAAAAAACTAATGGTGGATCAAATAGAATTAGCAGGGTTGCACTTCCCCTAACTATCTCCTGATAAAGGTCTACATTACATTAGTATCTTAGATTGCAGTCCTGAGCAAACACTAGATGAAGTTAAACAATCAAATTGCCAAAATGAAATTCAACATAAAGCCTTTCTTAAGGAAAATTAGTAATTACCACTTTGCTTGGAATTACTTCAGTTTTGGTTACCTATCACTCTCACTAGCACAGGAGAGCCTTTGGCATTGTTGTTGTTGTTGTTGTTGTTGTAACTTACTTTCCATAACTGTAAAAGAAACTTCAAATGTGTATTGTTACTGTGGTTTCAAGCTCAGCAGTAAAGTACCTTTTCATATGGGCTGGTATAAAGCAGGTTCGGGGCTTGGTTTAATGACTTCGAGGGTTGCTTCTTATTGTAGCAAGAGAGCAGGGCTGACCAAATCATTCTGCTGCCTGGACAAGCTTACTCAATTCCACATAGACAAGCTGACTGGACTGGTAGTTGAATCTTAGTTCAGCAATGGCAATAGGATAGGGCCTCCCTCTCATCTGAAAGAAGAAGGCATGTTTAAGGGGTGTACGACAGGCTATGGAGCACCCACAGCTTTCTCTTCTAAGTGGGGAGAAAATGGCCAGAGCACTCAGGAAAAAGGGTTCAAGGAGGAGGAGATGCCACTGCTGCACCCTCAGCATCTGCTGTCTGAGGCAATTGCTGCGTTCTGTCTAATGGTAGGGCTGGCCCAAAGAGAGACTATGGAAAGAAATTTTTAAAACCAAAATGTTAAAGTGTCTGCGTAAGTATTGTGTAAGCAGTGCTTTTTTGTAAAAAAAAAAAAAAGGTGCCAGAACTCACTTGCTGGCAGTAAGCGCGCGACCACACACACCAATCCCAAGCGGAGCAGCATCCCAAGCCTAGAGCAGCACCCTCACTATCAGATCGCAGACACAAAAGCAGCCTGCAGGCACTATGTTAATGATGTTTGCTGCTGATCTGCTATGATTCAAAAGCACTTTGTAAAATCCATTGGAAAAAAAGGTGCTGGAACGCTGTTCCGGTGCGTTCTATGACAAAAAAAAGCCCTGTGTGTAAGTATGTAGGTATGTATACCTTTATATTCACTTTCTGTGCCCTTTCAGATCCATATGCTCATGTTTCATTCCTCCATCGAAGCAAAACAACTGAGACAATCCACTCAACGCTAAACCCAACCTGGGATCAAACTATCATATTTGATGAAATTGAAATCTATGGAGACCCACAAATGGTAGTGCAAAATCCTCCTGATGTAGTGGTTGAACTCTTTGACAGTGATCAAGTGGTAGGTGGTAGCTTTTTCTCAGTTATGTCTTGATTTATTTTTATTAACAATAAATAGATAATAAACAGATTGACTCTTTTGGACTCATCAATTTGCTCAGGGCAAAGATGAGTTTCTTGGAAGAACCTCTTGCCCTCCTATGGTGAAACTGAACCCAGATACTGATCTTACTCCTAAACTTCTCTGGTATCCTGTTCTGAATGGAGGCAAAACTTGTGGAGATGTCCTTTTAGCAGCTGAGCTTATACTACATGAAAAGGTAATGTAATGCAAATGTATTTCTTTCAGACTTCAAGACCTCTTGATGGGACTATTATGCATGCAAATAAATCATGGCAAACACTGTCTCTGTTTCCAAACAGGGTGGCACCAACCTTCCAATTCTTCCTTCACAAAAAGCCCCAAACCTTTATATGGTACCACAAGGAATCAGACCTGTGGTTCAACAGACAGCTATTGAGGTATTGTGATTGATGCTGGAAAATGGACATGACTCACATGGTTAATACTTCCATATCTCTATGAACAAGGTCAAGGGGTACTGTAAGATTTGAAATATGTATAAAGCTGTAGAACTAACAGCTGGTGCTTTTGATCAAGGAGAATTTCAGCACCCAGAAAAAAGCATCTGAATGAGGTTTTATTTTCCTTGTACCTAGTTCTACTCCAAGTTGATTAGAAAAAAGAAAATCTGTGTGTAATAGTCATTTGTCCCTTTTATTAGGTTTTACCCTTAAAAGCAAGCCAAAATAATTTCAAATAAAAAAAATAAATATGGATCACAGAAGGTGATGAATGGGGCTATGATGTAGTGATTGTAAATTTGAGCAATGAGGTGGCAGGTTCCAAGTTCAAATCATGAATTTGGCCTAAGGGTAGCCAGTATTTCTCAACCTCACATCTGGGAAATAACAGCACTCACCTGTTTTACAGGGCTGTTGGGAGTATTCAAGAGATAATGTATGCAAATCTTTCCATGTGCTTAAAGTTTTTTATCAATGCTATCAATGGCTTGATAAGTAACATCGCCCTACCTTTAGTTGCTCCTTCACTTCCACTAACCTACTCCCATTATTCATTATTCATCCTTTATTCTTGTTCCCTGTTTTCAGTTTATATTAGTCAAGGATGTAGTCTATACACTGTCTGAAATATTGTGAGTACCTATTAATCACTACAATAGTTGGATATAGACTTATCAATACCCCCTTACCCCCATGCCCCCATGATAAGTCAGACTCTTAGATGTTTGACTTACCATGCAGCTACATGGTAGCTCCTCCATCTTGAAAAAGCTACAGAGGATCTGGGGGCCTTGCTGAATAAGCTCTAGTGTGAACTCAAGCACATTCCTTAGACAGAGACCTTCCCTTAACAGAAGGCAGGTCCTGCATCCAATTCATTGTAGCTCTAAAGTAACAGAATAGTTTGGCCAATTCGATAAAATAAATAGTTGAATGCCAGATTAATTTTTCAGAAAATGTATATTAATATTTTCTCTAAATAGAATTATAAATTGATATTCAGGAATTTTTTTCTTCATTGTTAGTATTTTAGTTGAGTCTGCAGGTTCTTTTAGTAATATCTATGCTGTCAATTTTTTAAACAGATCCTTGCCTGGGGATTGCGCAACATGAAGAACTACCAAATGGCTTCTGTTACTTCCCCTAGTCTCATTATAGAGTGTGGAGGTGAAATGGTAGAGTCTGTAGTGATCAAAAACCTGAAGAAGACACCAAATTTTCCTGGATCTGTTCTCTTCATGAAAGTGGTATGGCGCTGATATACTCTTACAGAATGATATACAGCATGCTTTTGGTATTGGTGGTATTCAGTTAAAAGCAACTGACCTAAACGAATTACCTATAGGAGCGTTTTTAAGATTCCCAGGGATCCCTGTGTGTAATGAAACATTGTGTGCACTAGTATTGCACATGGAAAACCATGTGCAGTGGCACAGGCATCAGTGTAGTGGTATATTTCCATACCAAGCAATATCTGAGTGGTTTGGACTTTCTTCCAAGGGCCAAAGTATGCAAGATGCAGGAGATGCATGGCTGGATCTTCCTGCATTTTCATTGTCATGTTAGATCAACCACTGGGAGCTTTGATACATGATTGTAGCAGTAATATTCGGAGTAGGGGAGTTAACTCTTTGCTGTTCACATAGTATAAATAACACCCTCTCCAGGAAGCTGCTATTAGCCACACAGAAGAACTGCCCATCACCACCAGGCACTGAGTACTTTTTCACTGCTCACCTAATAATAGTTTTGCAGGGAAGAATCAACTAGGATCAGCAAAATGATCCAGAGAAAACATTAAAGCCCTCTTTCCCTGTGCCACTGGTCAAATCAGAATTGGATACCCTAGTGCAGTGATGGCGAACTTTTTAGAGACCAAATGCCCAAACTGCAACCAAAAATCCACTTATTTATCACAAAGTGCCAACACTACAATAAAACCTGAAAACTGAGTTTTTAGTTTAGAAAAAACACCTCACAGCCAGTCCAAGCTAATATATATATATATCCTTGGCAGTACACTGACCGGCCTTGCGAAAGCTTGGACGAGTCGTGGCTAATGAGTCGCAGCTCGTGACGTCATCGCCTGGTGCCACTACTCCTTTCTGACCATGCATGTGGCCCCTATGTGCGCTGTTATCTGATGCTCGGCTGCTGGGGCGATGCTGGGACTTGGCTTGCGTGCCGATAGAGAGGGCTCTGCGTGCCCACTGTGGTACACGTGCCATAGGTTCACCACTACTGCCCTAGTGGATGCCTTAAGGAAATAATGAAAATGTTTTAATTGCTTTTATTAGAGCCCAGTTGAAAGGGGAATGGTAGAAGAAAGATGAAGAGGTTGCAAGGAAATAAGATAGTTTAAGATACCTCGCCAACATTTCCCTTTTTGTTCTTAAAATCAGACCATTCAGGTTCTACTTTATACATGACTTATATATATAAGTCCACATGTATTTTCCACTTAAAAGCAGCAGAAATCAGAACAGTTTCTGCAGTTTGTTTGAAACTCAGGAATCTTATTAACTGTATAATTTAATCCATTTTACGTTTAGCAGTTTTGTTTTTGTTTTTTACTAGCTACTGCCTAAGGAGGAATTGTACATGCCATCCATAGTTCTTAAAGTGATAGACCATAGGCAATTTGGCCGAAAACCTATCGTGGGACAGTGCACCATTGATTTACTGGAGCATTTTCGTTGTGATCCATATGCTACCAAAGAAGACATTGCACCGCAGATGAAAGGTAGAGTTTGCATAAAATCGAGGGCTTTTCTCCTATTAGATTGAGGTCTTGCTGCCCTTGGTACAGTCCACTAACTATGCCTCCTGCACTTTTGTGCAGTTCCCATTCGTTTGTGAGGTTTGTGGATGTGATGTTCCCAGTGGATTGTGCTCAAGGCCTTTTAGGATGACTCATGTAACTGGTGATACTGATTTTAAAGAGCCAGTCATAGAGAGAAAGACAGCAAGGATATTAACAAAGGTGGATTAATTTGAGTGCTGCTGTCCCACCTTCTTAATTTTTGCAGGTTCAACTTATGTACAATTAATTGATATCTCACACTTGAGATATCAATTAATTGTACATAAGTTGAACCTGCAAAAATTGATTGTGTTGCTGAGTGTTAATGTTCAGGATTCCAGCTGCTCTATTCCATCCCCAGCCAATATCACCTTGGTTTGGACTTTCCTGTCAGTAGACATGCTCAGTTTCATTAGACTGCTTTGCAGGTTCTACCTCTAGGACTTTTTTCTAGAGAGTTTTTGCACACCTGAAAACCTTTCTCTTTCTGCCTTTTGATGCCTTCCTCTTGTGTACCACTTTGGCTGCGTAAGCAGTGCACTCAGACTTCGAATGTCAGAAATGTAGTACATGTATTTGGTTGTCGACTAGAAAATCAACATTTCATTATCCTGTTTATACCCCACATTTCTGCCAGGATTGGCTTTCACAGCAACTTACAATTAAAAGCCACACAAAAGTTCAATATACTGAAGAACCTGCCCATATGTTGTGCATGCATGCATCTTTGTCGGTGTCTACATCTACCTTCTCTGCCCCTGGGTTGCTGATTCAGGGTCTTTCATACAAGGGAAGATAAAGAAAGAGTGAGGGACTGGAAAAAATACAGACGAAAATCATGACCAAAAACATCTATGAATGTGGCTTTTGTTGTTCAAATATTTGATTTGCAGTGAGTCTTCTAGCAGCTGCACCTCGGCGGGATGTTGTAATTGATGTAGAAGACACACAACCCTTACTAACAGCACAGGTAATCTTAATTTTGCTCTTTCATTTTTCAGCTCTTTCATTTGTCGTTTAGGGTGCAACTTTAAGGGACACAAAATGACCAGCAGACATGTCTGTGAAAGTTGTTGGAAACACTGGGCTATGTCTGTGTGAATAGAAATGCAAAAGGATGCTTTTTGCACTCTTCCAGTCTTAATATTTTGTTTATTGGTGTAAATGATCTTGTCTTTCCAATGTATTCTTTGTTGTTCATGTATTGTCTGTCATGAGCTTTAGAACTTATTTGCTATTCAGATTTATTGAATGAATAAAAGGATGAACAATGTTTGAACTATATTTTGTTCACTAGCAGTTCTTGAAATTCAAGTTCTGAAATGTTTACCAGATATGATGAAAGAGCAAGAGTAGAGAGAGGATTCCTCTGATGATGTTCTTGAAAAGAATGTCAGTTACATGGATGCAGGATGTGACAAAATGAATGGCTTGATCTATATGCACATAGAGGAAATTTAAGATGGAAATATGCATTTAGAGGGTTCAAATGAGTTGTTATAAATACTCCACTCTATTTGCTGAACACTGCCATGACAATTTCTGCCAGTCAACTGATCTACGATATTGTTCATCAGAAGCAAATATAAACTCAAATGATGCTTAATGCATTTTTTTAATCTTTGTGCTGCATGTGACAAAAATGTTTGAGGTTCATGAAACAAATATGGAACTTTTCAACATTTTTGGATGCTGATTTATGTGTTTTCCTTTTGTAACTGCAGGGTGTATACATTCTGTTTGTCATGTGCTGAAAATCCCTTCCCATTTCTAACGGCTATCCCAGTTAGTCTTTGAGGTCCTATAGCTGTCCTTTAATTGTTCCATATGGAGAGAGCCAATTACTGTAGATGAGTTGTCAGAACCAGGCAGATAGCTCAAAGTGGGTCCATCCTCCTTACTACATCAAAAGGAGGATGTTGTCTCAGCGAAGACACCCAGAGCCTTGTGTAGGCTGACAAGGCTTGCAGTGTAGGCAGCTCTGTTCCCACAGGGGGAGCTGACTGGGCTGTCAAAAGGCCTCTGCCTGATTGTGTAGCCTAAGACTTATGCAAGCCTGGAAAGATAGAGGTTCTGCCAGTGATTCATTCTCTGAGCAAGGGTGCATTCATTCTCTGAGCCAGTCATTCTCCCTTCATCTTCCATTTGAGAGGGTTTGATTTCTGCATGAGACCTCGCCCAAGGCCCCATAGGCCAGAGGTTCCCTAGCCATGGTTTAATAGTATGTAAAATGAAGCCTTGAGGGTGTACAGATAACAGACTAGAGTAACTAGTTTAGAACTTTCATAAACTACATTCCAATTTCTAGTGTTTAAGCAGTATGTCAACAGCACTCAGCAAAATGGCTTCTGCAACAACGGTGCATGTATGTATGTATGTATGAAAAATAGCATGAGCCAGCAATATTCCCCTGGGGCCTTAGGTGCTGTGGGTCGCTAAACATTACTTCTCTTCTGGATCTCCTGCCTGGAGATTTTGGAGAAAATCACAAGCAGGATTCTGATTTGGAACTAAATCCATTGACACAAAGTGAGGGACTTGTAGAACAGCAACTTCTGCTGAGAATGGGAAAACCTGTATTCATGGCAGCTCTTTAAATGCAAGCTCAGTACTTGCATGAAAATGCTAATCTTAGTGCTTGCTAGATGTAAAACAAGATTTTTGTAAAGGGTCACTGTTTAAAGAAAGTGGTTTCTGATCTTTTATTGTTTTAAATGGATGTTTTCTCCAAAATCTCCATGCTATATTATAGAAGACAATAAATATCATAAATAATGAGTAGCTTTTGGTGCATAATCATTGTCTGCGGGTTCTGTCAACAATTACATTCATGGCTAGAGATTATAATTGCAGTTTGCTGTGGGAACTTGTTCAAAGAATTCTGCAAAATAATCCAACACATTTTATTAAAATATCGCTGGAGGAGTGGGGAGACACTTTCATTCCTACTATGTTTTTCCAGTTTTACTGCATTTGACATTCTGGTGGAAAAGAGCAAATATAAGCAATTCTTTTCATAGTTCTCCTGTCTGTTAAAATACATACAGTGTAAAGGAATTAAGCTTTTTGGCATGAACAGACTTTTTCTCTCCCTTCATTTATAGTCATATAACTACCACTATGAACAACTATACCCCAGATGTTCCTAATGTTTGAAATACCAGATGCTGGGGACATGGAATGAGGGACAGGAGTGCAGTTGCCTTCATGTCCTATTTATAAGCTCCACAGAAGCATCTGGCTATCCACAGCATGCTGGACTAGATGGGCTTTTGGTCTGCAGTGGGGCTCTTCTCATGTTCTTACAAGATGGAAGCAAATGTACTGTAAAATTGCAATGTTTATGTTAACTGCATAATGGAATGTAGAAAACTGCTTTATACTGAGCTAGACCATAAGTAACCCAGCCCAGTATTGCCCATACCAGCCTTCTCCACCTTCATATGTCATCATCAGTCATGGGTTATTTAACCAGTGGTTGACTGAGGAAGCATGCCGCCTCCTGCTTGCTCACCACTTTTACTTGTATCCACCCCAGAACTCAGGTTGTTGAGGAATACACAACCAGACATTTAATTCATAGATTGTTGTTGAATTGAAACTATCAGTTGGTTAACCTTCAACCACCCAGGATTCCATGGTTGCATGCCTGGAATTTGTTGCTTTTTAAATCAGAAACCGAACAGAAATAGCAAGAAGACTATAGGCAGCATACTTACTCCTATGAGGTCCTGATAACCCATGGTTTGTTGTTACATGTGAACCAGGCCATAGACTAATAAAGTAAAATAGGTATTACAGCTGCAATCCTATACACACTTATTTAGCACTCAGGAAGACTTACTTCTCAGCTGACATTGATAAAATTGCACTGAAAAGTGCTTATTTTTTTCAGGAATAAAAAATGAAAGTATTCAAAAGAACAAGATAATTCAAGCTATTTTGATATCCTGTGAAACATGACACACATTTTATAAAAATGGAACAGAACAGGACAGAACTAATCCTGTTCCCATTTTGACAGTAGCAAATAACTAGTCATTTTAATTACCTGGAGTTCCTGAACAAATCAATGGGTTCTTTGATTGTCAAAGGATAAAGAGGATGGGTCCTTGTGATCATTCCATTAGATGTTTTAATTTTTATCCTAATTTGACAAAAGCATCAAATTGCTAGATTATAACAGGTTTGATGACTTTGGTATTTTATTTTTATTTATTTATTAAAACATTTTTATGCCGCCCCATTCGCTGAAGCCTCGGGGCGGCTTACAACAATAAATTACAATAAATATAAACATTAAAAATCCAAAAAATACAATATAAAATAAGCCGCCCTGGCCAGATAAGATCAAATAATACTAACAGTTAAAATGCCGCTTAAATAAAAAGGTCTTCGCCTGGCGCCGAAAAGCAAATAACGACGGCGCCAGGCGGACCTCTCTGGGGAGCGCATTCCATAACTTAGGCACCACCGCAGAGAAAGCCCTCCTCCGAGTAGCCACCCTCCTAATTTCTTTCACGAAGGGTTCCCGGAGAAGGGCCTCTCCCGCTGATCTCAAGGGGCAGCTGGGCATATATGGATGTAAGCGCTCCTTCAGGTGGTATGAACATATACCACAAATAAATAATTGGGAGACATCCAGAGACACAAAAATGTATTGATTGAACATTTAATATATCCATTAAAATCCACATTTGTTCTCTCATGTAATTTTTATTCAAGTAGAAAATCATATATGTATATTTTAATTGTTCTGCTTTGGTTTTACTTCCATCTTCTCTCCTGGTCCTGGCCTTTGGATATGTCTTCCTGCACAGCTCACAGAAAAGGTAATTGAATCATTGGTATGTGTTTTTAGTTATTGATACTTGATCCAGTAACTTCTTGAGGTCATAAGAAGTTACTGAATCTTCTTTTAGTGACAAGTTAGATTGCTGCAACACAATCTATGTGAGGCTGCCCTTTAAGATGCTTCAGAATTTGCAGCTGGTGCAGAATGCAGCAGCTAGAGTCATAACTGGGACCTGTAGGTCTGAACATATGAGACCAGTTCTGGATCACCTGCATTGCCTGCCTGTATGCTTTCAGGCCCAATTCAGGGTGCTGGTTTTAACCTGTAAATCTGTAAATCTCAGTTTTCCTTGGTGATCCAGATGTCTGAGGGGATTATCTAGCTGGTGGTTCTTCTTTGCTGGGTCTTTTACTGTATTTTACTGTGTTTTAAGCTATTTTAAGTTCATGTAAACATTTTTATAGTATTTGTACTGTATTTTATTGTTTCATTTTATACATTGTTGTAAAATGCCCAGAGATCTTTGGCTATGGGGTGGTACAGAAATGAAATATAAAATAATAAAAGTGCTTTCTTGATCATCCTTATATGAGGTGGGTGGGGAACTTCTTGTATACACAGAGCTAATGCAGCTTCATATGAATGGTTAAGCTGTTCATGCAGGAATTTTGTTGGAGCACCATGAGTGCTTCTGCTCATGTTCTAATAAAATGCTTCAGCTACTTCTGGAATATGTGGCAAAGTGGCATATATGGCTGTAGTCAACTGATGTCGCTCTGATGATGGGATAATCCTTGATCCAGCAGAGTCAGTGCTCTTTGATCTAAGAAAGCAGGAGAGAGGACATTTTCAACAATCCCCCCTTCCTCCTCCACCCCTTGCATCACCTACCACACAGCTCCAAGGAATTCGCTAACCTTCCAGGGCAGAGTTTGACCTGGGTTGTATAACATGGCAACCCACAGGGCTGATCACCCATTATGGATTGTTTGTTGGGCAAATGCAGCATGATTTCTTCAGGGCATCTCATTTTTCTGAGGTCACTCTGAGGACTCATGACTTGTTTTAGGATCGTTGATGTCCCTGGTGGCATGTCATGCAAACCCAGATTCCTTCCTGTAGGGAGGCTTGTTAGAAAGCACCAAGTTGCCCTCACCACTCCTGGGGTTTCAGGGTGGCTTGTTCTGAAACAAGCCACCCTACAGGAAGAAGTCTGAATTTGTACAATAACTCACTGTGGCTTGTCACTCACAATGGGTGTCATGTTGTGCAAGCCCAGGCTCTAACTCAGTCTCATCAAAGTCTTTGGGATATGACCTTGTGGTTAGTCCACCCAGTGGGGAGGCCTACAATATACCTTCCTGCTGTGGAATGTCACTTGTCCTGCCTCTGTAGTTTAGCACCCATGTGTAAGAGTTAGAATAATCATTCTAGAGTTTGGTGTTTTAACACATAAGATTTATCATCATCATCATTTAGGAAGAAGAAATTGTGGATTGGTGGAGCAAGTTTTATGCTTCAATAGGAGAGACTGAAAAATGTGGACGATACATTCAAAAAGGATATGATACACTAAAGGTACTTGTTCAGATATCAATATATCCAGTATTGGCTGGCAATATATTCTGCTGTGCCACCAGCTTTGGCACAATTGCAAAAGTAACTGGCCTTTCAGACAATATACTTTTCTGGCCTAACTCACCTTTCCTGGGTTTTTGTAATGCAGTGAGACCCTTACCCAAGGAACTTTAATTTTATTTTTATATACGGTTTTAAGCCTCATATGAAAAAGTCCAAGATTGCCATGTAGAACACTTGATATGGCTCACTTGCTGTTGTGATAATTTGTACTTTTTGCTGAAGTGTTATAAATGCCTGTCCATTTGAAAATGGCAAAATGAAATTACCAAGTAGCAAGTTATAATATACCTGCTTATTGATTTATATGTCAGCCAAGTTGAATATTAATGAGTTCTTTCACAAGTATAATTTTGTAGTTCTTCATCATGGCCTCTGTGCATCACACATATGGGTGCTGCACCTGTGCAGTGCCTAGGCCGGAAGATTAAAAAGCTAACGGTTTTTGGCGGGAAAACTCCACTTCCCTCCCCCTTCATGGTATAAATAGAGTGGCGTGTCCGCCATTTTGTTCAGTCTTTGCGACCACCGTTCGCTGTGCCTCGTGCCTGTTAACGTCCTCGCTAAGATCTTGAGTCCTTACTGTTCCTTTTGCTTTTATCCCTTCTTTAACTAATTCTTATATTCCAAGTTTATATTCCAAGTTTATATTCCGAGTTTGTATATCCCACTCTTTTTCTTCTTCTCAAAAAACAAAACAAAACAAAATATTATCTTACCCTCTATCCTGTCATCTTTTCTTCTTTTTCCGCGATGGCGCAGTGAGCGCCCTTTCGCAAATGCACCACATGCAGATCCAAAATGTCACCTGCGGATCCGCATGATCTATGCCTCCTCTGCCTCGGCGAGGGGCATAGAACCGACAAGTGCGGCCATTGCTTGGCCTTTACCAAGCAAGCGCAAAAGAACAGGGAGAACTGTCTCCGCAAGGTCCTCTGGGACCAGGCCTTGATGCAATCGGACCAACTGCTCTTACAGCCTGGTTCCTCTTCAGCTGCACCGCCTCCTCCATGCTCCACCCCAACTGTGAGCGCTCCTCTGAAGCGTCCCACTTCCACCGTTCCTCCTCAGCATCCTTCGGCTGAAGGCGCTACTCCAGCGGAGACCCAGGTGCCGCCTTCTTCCCCAGCCAAAAAACGGGAGAAGCGCAAGCACATGGGTTCGGATAAGCCTTCTGCTCATAAAGTTCCAAGGAAGGAGAAGGCAGATAAACCCGCTCACAAGACCAAGAAACCTAGTCGCCCCAAACACCGGGGCTCGGGTTCATCTGTTTTTTTCGGTACCGTCCGCCGCCACGGTACCGACCCCTTCAGGACCGGCCCTGCAACTTACTATGCAGGTAACACTGCCGGGATCCCCCAGGCCTCTCATTCGGCCTGAGAGTGTGCTGACCCAACAAGTGGAGGAGCCGCTTTGGGAGTCTATCTCTGATGGCGAGATTAGAGACTCCCCACCAAGGGAACGGTTTCCGACTCCAATGCCCACAACTGAGCCACCTGTGGAGTCACCTTCGCCTCCAAGGCGCCGCAGCTGCTCGTCCGAACACCGGGGTGACGACTGGAGGATGCACAGATATGGTGCCTTCCCAGACTGGGGTGGCTATCAATCTTATTCGTACTATCCTCAGGATTGTGCGTCTCCATCGGCCCCGAGAGATTCGCCTTTGATGGCCAGGCATGTGGAGAGGGGACGTCCAACCTCCCCAGAAATGTCGTCTTCAAGTGACCGTCCACTTTATTATCCGGACTCGGATGAATCCGAGGTTGACTCTACATCCCCCGATGTAGCAGTCACTTCCCAAGGACCGTCGTCGCCCGATGAGCCACATGTCTCCTTTACGGAGCTCATGTCCCTCCTTGTCCGTTCACTAGAGATTGAGGCTAGTCAACAGCTGGGCGGATCCATGGATCGCTTCTATGATGTTGTGAGGGGAGAACAGACCACGGCCATAGTCCTGCCGCTTATTACCACACTTCGGCAGGCTATGGTCCAACCCTGGGATCAACCAGTCCAACCGCAAGTGATCTCCCGTTGGTATGAGGCCATGTACAGAGTTCGGGAGGACGACATTCCATTCCTGATTTGCCATCCACGCCCGAACTCTGTTGTCGTTGAATCCTCCCAGGGCAGGGAGTCCAGGGGACACACAGCCCCTCACAACAAGGAAGGGAGGAAGATAGATATGCTCGCCCGCTGAGTCTATGCGGCCTCTGGACTCGGCGTGCGCATATCGAACTATGAAGCAACACTGGCATGTTACCAGTATTTTATTATGCAAAAACTGGATAACGTTGCTTCTTCCCTTTCAGACCGCCAAGCCAAGCTTGCCAGGGTATTCATCAAGGAAGCTATGCAGGTAGCAGTGCAGAAGTTATCTACCGCATGACATCACATAGATACCAATTCGAGAGCTCTCGTGAATGCCATCTCGCTGCGCCAACATGCATGGCTTTGTAATTGCAATTTCCCCGACAAGATGAAACGGAGGATCGAGGAAATGCCATTCGACGGTACCGGGTTATTCCATCAGAAAACCGACCGCAAGTTAAAAGCAATACATGAATCGCGTATGACTGCACACCGTATGGAGCTTCCTCAACAGAGGCGTAAGTGGCAAGGGCCTCATTCCTCTTACCGTCCACAATTCCACCCTTGGCAACACTACCAACAAAGACAGCAACGGCGAAGACAACAGCCGCAGCAACATTTCCCCCAGGGCTGGCGGCGCTTCAACGCTGACAAACGTCCACGTTGGCGGTCCGGGCGAACTATTCTCTCTCTCCCCACACCACCTTTCCCTCTCCCTTTTGGGGACCGGCTCCAGGGCCGACTCCCCATTTGGGAGTCCATTACATCTGATAGGTGGGTGTTGTCTATCATTCAGTTCAGATATAGGATAGAATTCGATGTCCTCCCTCCACCGTGTCTGATTTGATTTACATCTTCTTTATCATTACTGTGCGAAGAAGTCTCTCAGTTGCTTCGCAAGGGCGCAATTCAACAACTATCCCGCTCGGAGGGGTTGCATGGATTCTACTCCAGATACTTCACGGTCCCAAAAAGAGACGGTGGTCTTCATCCAATTTTGGACTTATGGAATCTTAACAAATCCATCAAAACAAAAAAGTTTCAGATGACCACTTTACAGAGTATTTTTCCGTTACTGAAGAGAGAGGATTGGTTCACCTCCTTAGATTTGAAGGATGCTTATTTTCATATTGCTATCCATCCTTCACATAGACGTTTCCTGCGATTCACTGTTGGGCTCGACTTGTTCGAATATGCTGTGCTACCCTTTGGCCTGGCCACCGCACCTCGAGTTTTTACGAAGTGTATGGCACCAGTATGTGCACACTTACGAACAAGAGGAGTGCAAATATACCCATATTTAGACAACTGGCTAATTGTCTCCCAAACTAAACAAGGTCTTCTGTCTGCAATACACATGACCTGCACCTTGCTCGATGATCTTGGACTATGTATTAACCACGAAAGATCGTCCCTTATTCCCACGCAGGTCATCGACTTTATTGGGGCACGTCTCAACTCCATACGGGAAAGAACTTCACTCCCTCCGGACCGTCGTGCTACCTTATGTGCCCACATCCATCGAATCCGAACGCTAGGAACGGTTCCGGCTATATCCATTCAGGGACCGGAATGTATTCACTCCACTGTACCGACGGCCCCTAGGTCGGTTTCGACGATATCTGCTTCGCTACCGGTGACTGTTGACCAGGAAATTCAGGCGATTCTCACATCTGCTCTAAGACCATCCACTCGTTGCTCTTATGTGGCTAAATGGAAGAGATTCTCCTCCTTTGCAGAACGCCATCTTTTTTCTCCTGGAGTGGCCTCAATTGACAATATTTTACAATTTCTCTTGGAACTTTATCATTTGGGACTGAAACCATCATCCGTTAAAGTTTATGTAGCCGCTATTTCACACTATCGTGGTGTGCTTCAAGGGATTTCAGTTTTCTCTCAACCTCTGCTTCGACATTTCCTTCAGGGGTTACAGAATCTACACCCTTCTATTCGCCCGCCTATGCCAACCTGGAGCCTTTTGGTCATACTCCAAGCATTTACCAAATCTCCGTTTGAGCCACTGGCGACTGGCAACCTATGCCTGGTGTCCTGGAAAACAGCTTTCCTCATAGCGGTGACATCAGCTCGGAGAGCAAGCAAACTTTCTGCTCTCCGCATAGACCCTCCATATCTTAATTTCCATAAGGAAAAGGTCGTTCTTCGTATGGATTCTTCCTTTCTTCCTAAAGTGGCTACACCATTCCACTTGAGTCAAGATATCGTTCTGCCAGCCTTCTTTCCAGCACCGTCGAATCCAATAGAGCAGGCTCTACACACCCTTGATGTTCGCCACTGCCTGGCTTTCTATCTCTCCCATACGGAATCCCTCCGTCACACGAACAGACTCTTTGTTAAGTACTCCGAATATGACAAAGGACTCCCAGTCACACCTCAAAGGCTGTCGCACTGGATCACTCAGACTATTGTTCTGGCCTATCAACTATCAAAAGTAGACTTACCTGTTACCCCCTGGGGTCACTCCACACGAGCTGTTGCAACTTTGTCCGCCTTTGCTGCTGGGGTCCCGCTCCAAGATATCTGTAAAGCTGCAACGTGGTCAGGGCCGTGCACTTTCACCAAGCACTATTGGCTTGATGTGCACGCCAGGCAGGACTGCGCTTTCGGCAGAGCTGTTCTTTCATCCGTTCTTCGCTGACAACACCTCCCTCCTCCGAGTTGGGTAAGCTTGCTAATCACCCATATGTGTGATGCACAGAGGCCACGACGAAGAAAGGCAGGTTGCTTACCTGTAACTGATGTTCTTTGAGTGGCCATCTGTGCAGTCACACAACCCACCCACCAGCCCCACTCGGTGTCCATCAGTACATACTGCTTCGGTACCATGCTGTAATTTGCATCGGTAACGATGGTATATGCCGGTGAGTGGATATTGTTCTCGCTACTGTACTATACTTGCATCGGTACCATTGGAGCTCAGTGCCGTTTGCAACTAATTTTATTCTTAACCTGTAGAGGGTGAACGTTCGGTCTTCAAGACTGAACAAAATGGTGGACACTCCACTCTATTTATACCATGAAGGGGGAGGGGAGCAGAGTTTTCCTGCCAAAACCCGTTATCTTTTTAATCTTCCGGCTTAGGCACTGCGCAGGCGCAGCACCCATATGTGTGATGCACAGATGGCCACTCGAAGAACATCAGTTACAGGTAAGCAACCTGCCTTTCTCCTCCAATACCATGCTCCCTTTAAAAATGTGTTGTTAAAAAGTAGGAAGGTTTTCCAAGTTTTACATTTATCAAAGTCTGTTACTAGCTTGTGCCTAACCTTTCTCTCTCTTTTTTCACATAAAATTTTATGAAGGTATATACCTGTGAACTGGAGAATGTTCCTGATTTTAGGGGTTTAACAGATTTCTGTGATGCTTTCAAATTGTATCGGGGAAAATCTGAAGAAAATGATGACCCTACTGTTGTAGGGGAATTCAAGGTAAAAACAGCTTGAACCATTTAAATTACACCAGCCTTTCCCAACCTCTGAAATATATTGGACAATAGCTCCCAACATCCCCAGCCATGTTTCTATTATTTCATAAAAAGAATCAGCTGTGCCCTTGCCTTGTTCAAATTATATTAGCTTTGCTGAGCCTGTCAAATTGTTTACACTCATTAGGCAGAATCCAACAGTGTACTGCCACTGCCACCAGTTCCCTTCTGCCATTGGTGAGTCCTGCTTATTCAGTTGCACAGTGGGACTCATTGCTTACACAAGGGAAATTTATCACTTCCTAGAGGGAGCCCTAAAATGAATAGTAATGCTTGTTTCTGGAAGGAAGCGGGTTGGCAGAATTCCCCTATACAAACTCTGCTGACCTAACTTCTTCCAGAAACAAACATTTCCACTCATTCTGGGATACCCTCAGAATGGCTGAATCTCACTTACATAAACAGTGAGCAGGAATCCACTTGTTGAAGGAACTCTGTGGGGTTCAGTAGAATTGGCAGAGACAGAAACAGCCCATTGGATACTACCCCTAATGAGAACATGTTTTCTGTGGCATATTAATACAAACAATTCCACTAAAGCATGTGTGCATTCTTAGAACTTACCACTTGCAACCTTTTGGAGACAAAGGCTTGAATCTAAAAATACCACTGTGCAACTAGTGATATTAGCACTGTGCAACCAGTCACTAATGTCCCCTTCAGACTAGCCTTCTGCAAACTTGCTCCAAAGAGGCAGTGGACCATCCAGACCAATTTTTCTGGGTACTGAATTGTGCTGCAGATGGTCCAGTACACTGAGTGGGATCTCAAGATCCAAGTCAATGACATTGACCCAGGCAGTGGTGTTTGTAACCTCATGCATTGATGACTGTGAGGAAAGAAAGATCTGCAAGTACAAGTTGTTCTATAGCTGATAATGCAAGAGGCCTACCTGCTTTGGTTCATGGCCATTGCCTACCTGTTTCAAAGCAGAAGTGAGACCTAAGTTAATGTGACCCTCAGCTTAATTTCAAACCCTAAATTTGCACGCTTAGAGCTCAAGCAAAAGTGATCTGTTTTTCCCAGCAAACTACTAGGAATGTAGGCAAGGGAAAAATGGGGATGCAAGAGAGAGATGGGGGAGAAAGGAAGATCAAAGAAGTTTCTCTGCTCACTTTTGGATCTGGCTTCACCTATTTCTAACTTCAGCCCCACTCTTAGCCACCATGCAGCCTCTCACAGATTAACCCAAGAAAATGTAGTCCTCAACAGAAAAAAAAGCTTACAAATAAGTGGTCATATTATTTCCTAGGGATCCTTTAGGATCTATCCATTACCAGATGATCCTACTATACCTCCTCCTCCTCGGCAGTTCCGTGAGTTACCAGACAGTGGGCCTCAAGAGTGCATTGTACGAATTTATATTGTTCAAGGCTTAGAACTCCAACCTCAGGATAACAATGGATTGGTGAGTGAATGCATCCAAGAGCGAGTTGTGACTAGGTGATCTGGTAACTGGAATGTACACATTTGGAGCATGATTCTGGTCTGGGCCCTTGCTTGAAAAAGGAATAACAGCGGTGTAGTACAGAAGAATTGGGAGTTATAAAGCACTACAAGTACTTAAATGTTGTATAAAATATCTTTTGCAAAGCTAAATAACACTGTGATGGACAAAGAGGGAATGCCAGGCTCAGATCTGAGAATCTGAGTTCACATTTCAGGCACACATGGACATGCCAGCTGTTTCTAAGCAAGTCACTATTAGCAATTGTTTCTGTAAAATGACAACAGTAATCTTTTTCTGCCTGGTGTGAATGGGTGAGATAAAGCTCAGAGCACACATCGCTTAGTATTGCATGGATTCAGCACTCACTTGCAGCACAAATGGAATTCTCTACTAGTGAGAGCATCAGTGGTTCCCCAACCATTTAAATAAATGGAAGCACCACCTCTGTGCAAGCATCCGCTGCCTTGACTGAGAAAATAGCCAAGGGTAGGAGCTCCTTCTGTAGGTTACAGCATATGTGGCTTATTGGATAACTATTACACAAAACATTGTGTGCTATTACTTAGTCTTACATTAATTAATAATGTCCTTGTTTCAAACAGTGTGATCCATATATTAAAATCACCGTAGGCAGAAAAGTCATTGAAGACAGAGATCATTATATTCCCAACACACTCAATCCGATTTTTGGAAGGTAACTTTACAAACTTCTACAACTGGTTTTCTGTTGATTTTAATTAGAATGTTCATAAATCCCTTACAGAATATTATTAGGGCATTCTCATATCTACAGCATCTTATTTTATTTCTTATGAAAACAATAGAACTTAATTGCATTGTACAGCAGAAGAAGGGTGGGCAGAAGAAAAAAAATCACCCCAAATGACTGAAGCAGAGACTGTCTTATTTTAAATGGTTAAACATTCCTCTGAACAACAAAATGAGGGACAATAGCCTAGAACTGTATAAATGTAAAAGGGTTTTGGGAAGAAGATGAACATTTTAGTCCACTCACTATTCCATAGTGTAAGGATTAAAATTTCCATTTTCTTCCAATAAGCAGTATTAATAAATTTCTATCCTGGTTACAAGCAAGTCATGTCAATGTAATGCAATGAATGAGGGAATTTTGAAACAGAAAGTTTTATTTTTAACTTCTTAACTGTATATAAGCAAATTTGATAATATTTGATGTGAGTATTCTTCATTTTTTCAGTTTTTTTGTTATTGAAATCTACTGGGTATTTCTATATTTAGAATGTATGAACTGAGTTGCTTCTTACCTCAAGAGAAGGATCTAAAAATTTCAGTCTATGACTACGATATGCTGAGTCGTGATGAAAAGGTTGGTGAAACCATCATTGATCTGGAAAACAGATTCCTCTCCCGCTTTGGCTCTCACTGTGGAATACCACAGCAATACTGCATGTAAGTCTCTCCTATACCTATAAAAACATGTACATGCTAAATACATGACTAAATGCCTTCCATCAAAAGCAGTGTTACTTAAAAGCATATATCTTGTCATGATTGTGACACATTGTATAATAATAATAATAATAATAATAATAATAATAATAATAATAATAATAATTTTCAGTGACCGTAATAGGACATACTTTAGTTGTTCTGTCCAAGGCATCACTTAGACAAAGCATAATCAGACCAGTCTAGAATCCTTATGTGTACCAGTGTCCATAGCCTGCATGAGTAGGCCTTGCCATGGCATAGCTTCATCTGCAAAAAGAATGCTTGTTCTGTTTCATTTTATTGTATTAAGAAATTGCACCTTCCACATATTACCTAGGGTGATGTACAGTAAAACCAGAAAAACTGGATGGAGCTGAACAGTCTTTACTTTTTGTCTGGGGGGAAAAAACAATTGCAGGAGTGAATTCAAGGATCTTGGTGCTGCCCTGTCTTTAGTACCTACTAATTTAACCGGGCTTCTAGCCATGAATTACAGAAAGGTAAGGAGGGGTCCTTGAGATTTTTGTTCTATTGAAGTAAATGAGGAAGTGTTTCTGAGCAGTTCCATATTCAGAAGATCATTGTCTGCAAGAAGCATATAAATCAGGAAAACTCATGAAAAATAAAGAACATGTATTTTTCAATGATGAAAAAAATCTTCCTTCATGTGATACTCACCTGTGAAGTATTTCTGCAAGATATCCTATTGCAAAGCCTAGTTCCCACTTTTATGAACTATATAATTCTATAAGCATATGCAGGAACATGATTGTTCATACTAATGAATAATCAGTGTATGTATCTTCAAGAAAAAACTGACACATGAAGTATATATTCTGAAATGTACTCTATTTCCTAAAAAGTTCAGGAATCAATGCCTGGAGAGACCAGCTGAAGCCAACACAACTTTTGCAAAATCTAGCCCGCGTTAAAGGCTATCGTCCTCCAATCCTCTCTGAAAATGGGAAGCGGATTAATTTTGGAGGAAGAGACTACACCTTGGATGAATTTGGTGGGTTATTTTGTAGTTATTGAATTTCACCTATTTGTGTTTGTCCAGTCCTCACTGTCAGTTCCTTGAACATGTTTGATGTTTATTTGAAAGTAGAATTTTAAACTGCATTCACAGCTATAATCAGTAGCTTTAATATGGAAGATGACATCAGCCTGCATGATGGATCTTTCTTATTGTAGCCCTATGTAAAATTGAAAGAGACCAATGCTCAAAGTGGAACTTCGTTCTTCCATAGCTTGCCTAGGCTTACATGCAGGGCTGGTATCAGAGGCAGGTATTGTGGAGCACCTACCAAGAGCCCACTGATGGGGGATCCCTGAACCTCAGTAACTTTGCTACATTCTTGTTCTCCACCTGCTTTTTGTCGTGACCTAAACAAAGGTAGTGGTGAGAAGAAGAGCAGTAGATGCCACAATCTACATGCTTACTGGCTCTCTGCTTGTTAAATGAGCAAGTGATTATAACGATGTGAAGGCAAAGGAGCAATAGCAGCTGGTAACAATGATGGTGAGAAGGTAGACGCATTGAAGAAGGGAGCTCACTGAAGATGTCCTGCCTGAGAGTTCTCCAAAACCTGTCAGCGTGGATTTGAAGTCCAAATAAGTAAATTAAATAAAGTTTATGTTAAAGCAAATGTGCATATGTGGGCATTGGCTAATTTCAGTACTTAACTGTGAATTCCAACTGGTTTACATTGTTTCTTTTTCCTTCAGAGGCCAACAAGAAATTGCATGAACACCTTGGGCCTGCCGAAGAACGACTTGCCCTTCACCTTCTCAGGACTCAGGGCTTGGTGCCTGAGCATGTCGAGACAAGAACGTTGTACAGTACCTTCCAACCAAACATCTCACAAGTATCGGATGCTTTTTTAAAACTTCTTCTAAGATACAAACATTTGGCATTGCCAGAATATAGAGAATAAATCTAATAGTGGGAGCTATAATGGAGAAAGTAAAGAAATAAAGTATTATTCTCATCTATAGCCACTCCTCCTCTGCTTACAGTGTGTAACCACATGGCTAAGGTGACACTTTAATTACTCTAGCTACACAATCCAGGCAAAGATAAGGAGTTCTGTGTCACAAGGTTTCAATGCCTGTGGTTCAAACGTATGTTTAATTAAGCCAGTGAAATCAGTGGGATTGGATCATGTCCAGTGCTGACTCATCTGAAAGAATTCTCATCGCATTACAGGCATACCGCAGGTTCACTTCCACCACAATAAAGCAAATATTGCAATAATGCAATTAAAACAAATGTTTTGATTTTCCAGTGCATATAAAAGTTATGCTTACACTATACTGTAGTCTATTAAGTGTGCAATAGCATTATGTCTAAAGAGGTAGACATACCTTAATAAAAATAGTTTATTGCTAAAAAAGTCTAACTATCATCTGACCCTTGAGTGCATCATAATCTTTTTGCTGGTGCAGGGTCTTGCCTCAATGTTGATGGCTGCTGACTCATCAGGGTGATGATTGTTCAAGGCTGGGGTGGCTGTGACAATTTCTTACAATAAGACAATGGAGCTGCCCACATTGGTTGACTTGTTGAAAGGTTTGATGAAAGATTGATGAAAGGTTTCTCTGTAGCATGCCATGTTGTTTGGTAGCATTTTACTTATAATAGAACTGCTTTCAGAATTAGACTCAATCCTCTCAAACCTTATTGCTGCTTTATCAAATGCTAAGTTTATGTAATATTCTAAATGTTTTGTTGTAATTTCAACATCCTTCACAGTATCTTCCCCAGAAGTAGATTCCATCTCAAGAAGCCACTTCCTTTACTCATCCATAAGAAGCAACTCCTCATCTGTTTGCAAAACTGCAATTCAGTCATATACTTTCATGTATGCCCCACTGAGTAGATATCTATAGGACTGTGTTGTTAAGCACATATCTGTTGAAATGCAAGATAAATTGCACTTTAAGGTTTCATACTTGTAACATTTGTGGCAATGTGTGTGCATCTCACAGATATCTGTCAGTTTTCTATATATCCAATACTATTTGAAGGACTTCCTTAATTTGACAAGGGGGCTCTACTTATGTACAACACACATTCCGGTGCCTATGTGGAGTCTATGTGCAATGTGCAGGGCCATTAATGGATAAGGGACTTTTTATATTTAGAATATTTTGTCATGGGGCTGGGCAAAGGGCAGGCTAATGTTATTTGCATGCAGGTATATGTCATAGGCATAAAGTCATATGAGAAAGCAGCTTCTGGGTCCCAATAGCCCTAAGTTCTAAATGTTCTGGCAAGGATGTGTAATCTCATAGCATTCCCATGGCATGCCTCTAGGCAAATATATAGGCCAGGATCCAAAGGGCTACTTTGAGGGGTCCAAGGGCATGGCCTTTCCAAGTAGAATTCCTGACTTCTTCCCTTTCAAGCATTAGAAGCAACCCCGCTTTCCACCCCCAGTACACAGTCTCCTTGATTGCAGGCAGGGTTTGCCATGTGGCATGGCAGGTGGTCAGGGAAGTAGGGCTGTTGTTCAAGACAATCAAGCCAAAGCCTTCTTGGGCTTGCAGGCAGTGGTGTATCTAGGTTATTCTGGACTTAATGCTCTTACAGGGGCTCTCTTTAGATGGACATGCATAAAACACACAACTAACATGTCTCTCTCCACACCTGAACCATTCAGTGTTTTATAAGCACTTCTACATTTCTGATGCATTAGAGCAAAACGTGCCACCCCCACCCACCCCAAAGTTGCCAGTCTTGATTTTAAAAAAATAATAATTCTTCAAGCAGTGTTAAACTCAAACCATAGCACTCTTGTGACTACAGGAATCAAGCGGAGCTCCTTCTGCCGCCCTGCCACTTGCATCATCTTCCACTCTCTGGGTGGACATCTGAGGATCCTTTGGGCTATGGAATCCCAGACTTTGGCCCCAACATTCAGCAGCCCTCACTGCACCACTGCCTGCAGAATGTGCTGAATAGTTCTTTGAGTCCAGAACATGTAGCAAATTGGAATACAAAATAGGTGTCTGTTTTGTTTTGTTTTGTTTTTTTAATGGCTTAACACAATTGTCTTTCTGATGCAGGGAAAGCTGCAGATGTGGGTTGATGTTTTCCCCAAAAGCATGGGTCCCCCTGGCCCACCTTTCAACATCACTCCTCGCAAGGCCAAGAAGTGAGTAAGCCAGAACATGCCAGTGGCATGCTTTTTTTCTGGAACTGCCAGCCAATTTTCTAAGCCCAGTGACTAATGTGATTCTGTTCCCAGTCCTTCCCTGACTGATTTCACCGTTTAAGTGCATCAGCATGATTTGTATCTACTCTGCCAGATATAAGGACCTAAGTCTAACTGCTTCATTCTTTCTGTGCCATAGATACGAACTGCGTGTGGTGATTTGGAACACAAAGGATGTTATTCTGGATGAAAAAAGCATCACAGGAGAGGACATGAGTGACATCTATGTGAAAGGGTGAGGGTACCCTGTCTTTACCATTAACACACCTGTTACCTGTAATTTTTAATAGTCCAGTTCTTGATAAGAGTTCCAAAGAATGGATCATATGAGAAAGGTCTCATGTAAATCAATGGGAGGAGGACCTGTTTGTCATATTGGCACATGACAAGACTTTCTTGTGATCATGGATTCATGGGGATTTAATGGGGACACTGGGACTGAAAAGTAGCCCCAGCTTTAAGTGACAGCATGAGCCCTTTTGCATTGAGATTGGTTGGCAATATTGGAATCCTATCATGTGATACAATGCCGAAGTTTCTGTTTCTATCCCTAGCTCTTTGCAACACACATGCTGCACTTCTCTTCAACTGCTGCAGCGTTGCATCCAGTAATCAGCCTTCTATTGTGTTCATAGCACATAGTCAAACTCGCTTGCTTCTGACTTTCAGATGGATGCCTGGCTATGAGGAAAATAAGCAGAAGACAGATGTACATTACAGATCCCTAGATGGTGATGGGAACTTCAACTGGAGATTCATTTTTCCTTTTGAGTATTTTCCAGCTGAACAGCTCTGTACAGTTTCAAAGAAGGTTACTTTTTCTGATCATGTGAAATATATACGCATAGACACTGGTCACTAAAGGCCAAACTACACATGGCACTGAATTGTATGACATTTTTCTCCAACCCCCAACCCATTTTAATGTATCATTGAAAGCTGTGGTTTGAAGTTGAAGCTGTAGACACTGTAGCAGGAGGAAAGGAAAGCGCTTTTTAACAACTTCCTCTTCTGTAGTTTTTCTGCTCACAGTCACTGCCTACTGCCCAACTGCATTTTTACCCACAGAGGAAAAGACTCAGGTATTTAGATTTTTCCCCTCAAGCAGCAGTGTGTGATTTTGAGTTGAAAACCGCCCTCAAACACATGGAGTGACATGGTTGGGGAGGATTTGATGGAGGGAACAGTGCAGACACATCTGCTTCTTTACTCCCATGTACTTCACTAATTTGGTGTGTTTGATTTTTGTTGCTTTTCCATTCTGTCTTATGAAGAATTCTGAGATTTGAAAAGACACGCAAAACTTTACTCCCTTTGTTAATTCTTATATGGCATTTTTCTATTTGGGTCAAAAACTACAAATCAACATTGTATTAAAAATTACACAGTAAAAGCATCTGGGCTAAGATTCTATAAATAATTATTTTGTAACCATTTAACCATTTTTAATGTAGGGGGGAAAATTGCATCTGTGAGTAAAAGATGCAAAAAAAATAGCCTTTAATGAGTTCAGGCATGCATGTTGCTTGTAATCTGCATATTACCCTGAAATGCAGAGGAGACAAGCCATTCATTATGTTTTACTGATTTTGTTGTTCTTCTTAGGAACACTTCTGGAGTATTGACAATACTGAATTCAGAATTCCACCCAAGCTGCTTATTCAGATATGGGACAATGATAAGTTTTCCTTGGACGATTATCTAGGTATGCCTTTAGCTATAATACAGTGTTAGGGGATCCCTGCCAAAGGAAGAGATTTGTGCCAAGATATCCTTGAGATATCAGCAGTGTACATAATAGCATGATAATCTCCCCACCGCAGTGACTCATCCCACTTTCTTTCTTTTTTCTTTAGGTTTTGTTGAACTTGACTTACACAATACAATTATGCCAGCCAAGGTTCCAGAAAAGTGCACTTTAGACATGATTCCAGAATACAAGCAAACAAACTCTCTCAAGGCTTCTAAGATTGCTTCACTCTTTGAACAGAAATCTATGAGGGGATGGTGGCCGTGCTATGTGGAAAAAGATGGCTCCCGTGTTTTGGCTGTATGGTTCTATTCATATGCATGAATTCTTCATTGGTTGTAGGGATTCATTTTGCCTCATAACTTTTATTGCATCCCCCTCCCCTAAATATTCATGAGCAAATCCTAACGTTATGAATATCTAAAGCTAATGATAGCTTAATTGACTGTTGTAGCTGCATTCCTGCCCTAGCTGTAACCTGGTGCATTCTTGATGGTGAAGCCCATCAATTTCAACTAGTTCCCGTTAAAGTAAATAGCAAATCTTTCAGTGATTCTAGCACATCCATAAAATTTTTTGATTAAGGGCTATGGCCTGTACCTCCATTCACAGGACTCCATTTTAGATGGTTCGGCCAGCTACTTAAAGATTGTCACATGTGATTCTAAGGATGTTATATGCACAAGTTTCCATGTTAGTTTCATAAAACGAATAGGAATCATTAAAACCTAAGCCCAGTCTATCTTAATACATTGGTCCCAGCAGAGTGTGAGGAAAGGTCAGACCCAAGGAATTGTTACATACCCTATCTAGTTGTATATGTATGTTTCTACAAATGCCACATCTTTGTGCATTTATCAAATAGCAGATTGGTACATTTGGAAGGAATATTGAGATAACTGATCCTCAGAAGTGCAAATATTGAAATATTATATTTTAAGTAGAGACAGGGGTGCATGTGGTCTCTAAGAATATAATCTCCCTCTCTAGACCTCCTGTCCCCTCAAGTGTGGATCTTAAGTGTTTGTAACTTGTGCTGGGTGCTTGACAAAAATTAGGGATTCTGCTGGTATACTGCCTACCTGAGGTGATAGAGGTTGAGGATCCCCAGGATGATGGTTCTGGGAGATCTTATTTATTTATTTTTATTTATTAAAACATTTTTATGCCGCCCCATTCGCCGAAGCCTCCATGCAGCGGCTGCTATATCTGGGGCAGCTCAGGACTTCACGGAAACATAAAAACAGAGCGAGTCAGAAGGGCCTCCCAGGCCATCTAATCTTACCCCTGGCTCCTGCTTGCTCTGCTATAGAAACAGAAATTTCATGGCCACCATGACAACCATGCTATCTCAACATGTTATTGGCCCAATGCATGTAAAAGACACACCACAGATCAGGTTTTCTCAACTGGGCAGGAAAATGATGTTCTGGAATTGGGGGGAATTAACATCAATCCCCTTGTCAAGGTTAACTGAGGTTTAGACTCCCTTTCCCCTCTGCAAGGGAGCGGGGGGGGGGGGTAAAATGGTCCACCCCCACCCCCATAGGTTAATGAATCCTGGTGGTTTCCAGAGGGTTCTGGGGAGTTTCTGGCTGGTACTCCAGTCAAAGTCCAGGTCACTCTGTGGAATGCCCTCTTCCTCTTTAAAATAAGCTGTAATTAAGCCTCTCCTTTAAAAGCCTAACCAGAACCCGGAGGATGTTAATGTTAATAACTACAGCCAATGGCCAACATATCCATCCTGGGCAAGGTGCTTGAGCAGGTGGTGACTGAACAGTGCCAGGCACCCTTGGATGAAAATGACCATCTAGATCAATTTCATTCAGGCCTGGAAACTGCCTTGGTTGCCCTGGTGACCTTCACCAGGAAAAACACAGGAGGAGGGGAAACCTGTTGTTTTTCCTGGAATTCTTAGTGGCTTTTGGTACCATTGGCCGTAGTATCCTTCTGGATAGGCCGCCTAGGCTAGGAGTAGGAGGCATTGCATTGTAATCATTCTGCTGCTACTTTGCCAGCCGATTCCAGAAGGTGGCACTGGGGGATTAAGGTTCTACACCTTGGCCAGTAACACCTAGTTATCTGGTAACCTCTCACTTGGATTACTGTGATGCACTGTACATGGGACTACATGTGCTGTACAGGCCGGAAAATTCAACTGATCCAAAACAGGGCAGCTAGCTTGTTAATGGTGACTGGCTCACAAGAATATATTATGCCAGTCCTCTTCCAGCTCCACTAGTACTAATATTCAAATCCCTAAACAGCTTGGGGTTAGGGTTCAGATTGTCTCCTCCCATATGTACCTGCCTAGTCCCTGAGGTCATCTTGGAGGTTCTTCTCTGGGACCTCTTTCCAAAGGAAGTGAGGCAGGTAGCTACCAGGAGGGGGGGCTTTTGGATCTAGCACCCCAGCTGTGGAATGAGCTCCCTAAAGAGGTACACCTAGTGCCTACTTTGTATTCTTTTCAGCACCAGGTGAAGAATTCCAGCTTTTAAATTTTCTGAGCATTTTAATAGTTAAATTTTTCAACTTAGAAACATAGAAACAGAGCAAGTCAGAAGAGGTCTCCCGGGCCATCTAGTCTGACTTCATTTTTAATACTGTATTTTACTCTGTACTACTGTACTGCTGCTTCTGTGCTGATTCAGTTGTAATTGCTATTATGGCTTTGTTGTTTAAAGATGATTTTATTTTGTGTGTTTTAATATTTCTCTTAACTTCATTAACCACCCAAAGAGCCTCAGCTATTGGGCAGTATAAAAATGCAATAATAAATAAATGAAGTGTGTGTGGTGGGGCCGGGGAGGTCTTTAAGTACCACAAAGTTTCTGATAATATTTTAATTTGTTTAAGGGTAAAGTTGAGATGACTCTGGAAGTCCTTGCTGAAAAGGACATTGCAGAACGGCCAGCTGGTAAAGGAAGAGATGAACCAAATATGAACCCCAAGTTGGATATGCCAAAGTAAGATGCTTTTCTCTTCTTCAAATTAATGTGAATGCCTTGTGAATTGGCCCCCAAAACTGAAAGTGTTTGTTAATCTTGAGAATACTTTGTGTCTAAGAAATTTGAAAATAGGACTGTCAATGGATTTTGGCAAAATGTCTCTTTAGAAACATAGAAACAGAGCGAGTCAGAAGCGGCCTCCCGGGCCATCTAGTCTGACCTCCGTCACCAGCCGGCTCCGCTCATGACATGCCCACCATGTGCACGTCCAGCCTGTCCTTGAACACCCGCACCAATGGGGCCTCAGCGACCTCTCGTAGAAGCCCATTCCACACCCTCGGGGTCCTAACTGTCAGGAAATGCTTCCTGGCATCCAAATGGAACTTGGCTCCCTGAGCTTTGCTCCACTGGAGCGTGTCCTGCCTTCCTCTGCAGGGGAGAACAGGTCTCTACCCAACTCCATGTGACATCCCCTCACATACCTGTATGTCGCCAACATATTCCCTCTGAGTCTCTTCTTCTCCAGGCTGAAGAAACCCAGTTCCCTCAGTCTCGCCTCATACCCCATCCCCTGCAAACCGGCCACCAACCTTGTGGCCCTACGCTGCACTGACTCTAACCTGACTATATCCTTTCTGTAATGAGGGGCCCAAAACTGAGTACAATACTCCAGTTGCGGGCGCACCAGAGTCATATAGAGTGGTAGTAATACCTCTCTTGATCTAGAAGCCACACTTCTGGCTATGCAACCAAGGGCGGCATTCGCCCTCTTGACCACCGCATCACACTGCTGACTCATGTTTAGCCTGCAGTCAACCAGTACCCCGAGGTCCCTTTCACAAGTGCTGCTTTCCAGCCACTTGTCACCTAACCTGTACTTTTGACAGCTATTCCTATGCCCCAAGTGCAAGACCTTGCACTTATCCACATTGAACGCCATCCTGTTGTCTCCTGCCCACTTCCATAGTCTGTCCAGATCCTTTTGGATCTGGAGTACCTGCTCCTCAGCTGTGGCCACTGCTCCAGTTTTAGTATCGTCTGAGAATTTGATCAGCAAATTGTTCACCCCTTCTTCCATGTCATTAATGAAAAGATTAAACAGGATCGGCCCCAGGACAGAGCCCTGGGGGACTCCACTTGTCACTGGCCACCATCCCGATGATTCCCCACTAATGGTTACCTTCTGCTTTCGGTCAGTCAACCATGCTGTAATCCACCGGACAGTGCTTTGGTGTATCCCAAAACTCCTCAGTTTCTCCACCAGGATATCATGGGGCACTTTGTCAAAGGCCTTGCTGAAATCCAGGTATACCACATCCACTGCATGCCCTCCATCTAGCCATCTCGAAGCCTTGTCATAGAATTCCACAAAGTTTGTTTGGTAGGACCTGTTTTTGCGGAAGCCGTGTTGTTTGGCTGTCAGCCTCCCTTCCCTATCTAGCATCACTAGATCTCTCTCTATTATGAGCCTTTCCATTGTTTTTCCTACAATGGACGTAAGGCTAAGTGGTCTGTAATTCCCCATGTCACTTCTACTACCCTTTTTGAAAATTGGACCACTGATGCCACCTTCCAGTCCTCTGGAACTTCACCCATTCTCCATGAGGCCTCAAAAATGGAGGCCAGCAGGCATGAGAGAACCCCTGCCAACTCTCTAAGTACTCTCGGGTGTAACCCGTCAGGGCCTTGCGCCTTTGTAATGTCCAATGCCCTGAGGAGCCCCTCGACTTCAAGGGGGGTGACTCTAATCTGTGCCCCTAAGTCCCCAGCCTCATCTAATCTCCTATGCGGATATCCCCCATCCTGCTTTGGGGAGAACACAGAGGCAAAATAGTCATTTAGCATCTGTGCCTGTTCCCTCATATCAGTCACTGGATCTTCTTCCTCCTTATTTAGTGGTCCCACCACTTGTCTCCCCTTCCTCTTCCTATTTACATGCTGAAAGAAGCCCTTTTTGTTGCTCTTGATATTCTTGGCAAGTCTCAGCTCGTAATCAACCTTAGCCTTGTGAAGAATCCTTCTGCAACGGGCCTCCTCCTCCCAGTATACCCTTTTGTCTATTTGCCCCAGTACCCATTTCCTACGGAGATTCCTCTTTCGTCTAATCCCTCTAACCACCTCCTTTCACATCCATGGCAGCACTCTCCTCCACCTCCCCACCTTACTGACTAGAGGTATCGTCAAGGCTTGCGCCTCCAAAACCTCCCTTTTGAGTGCCATCCACCCCTCCTCAACTCGCTTACCTTCCAGTAACCTATCCCAGGAGACTCCCCAGTCTGGCCTTCAGTTGGCCCTCTTGAAGTCTCAGCTTCTAGTGCTCAACCTGCTGCACGTCCCCAGTCCCCTGATCTCAAAGCAAAGGATGGGGTGATCACTCGCATCCAGAGCTCCCCTAATCTGTACTTCATCTATCAGCACCTCCCTATTGGTCAAGACCAAGTCAAGGATGTTTCCCCCCCTCATCGCCTCTCGGACACTCTGTGTGAAAAACCCTCCCTCTATAGCTTCTAGGAAGCGATGTGACCTGGCTGTCACCACCGAGTGAGTCTCCCAACTAATATCCCGGAGATTGAAATCTCCCATAATTACTGTGTCCCTCCCTCGATATATCCTTAGAATCTGGCCTGTCAGGACATCATCCAGGGTCTCAAGTTGACCTGGAGGGCAATAACATACCCCCACTGTCAGGTCTCTTTCCCCGTCAAAACCCCTAAGTTTCACCCAGACTGCCTCTACCAAATCCCCATCTGTGCTGCATTCTATCTCACTGCATCCTATCCCTTCCCTGATGTATAAAGCCATGCCCCCACCTCTCTTTCCCTTCCTGTCCTTTCTAAAAAGGTGATACCCTTCTATGTTCACATTCCAGACTTGCCTTTCATCCCACCAAGTTTCTGTGATTCCCACCAGATCATACCCTCCTATTCCCAGGAGAGCTTCAAGCTCTTCCTGCTTATTACCCATGCTCCTAGCATTGGTGTACATGCACCTCAACTCCTTCCCACCGCTTCCTTTCCTTGGAGTTCCCAGCCTCCTCCTTCCTCCCATCCTCCCTGATACCTGGCCCCTCTCTGTAGGAGTCCTGTCAGTCCCTGCAGTACCTCTAAAACCCTGCTCCCAGAGCCCTGATCTTCTCCCCACACTTGTCCAGTGCAGACACATTTCTGGGGGGCCTGAACCCACCCCCTCCCTGGCTCAGTTTAAAGTCTTCCGGACGAAGCTCACTACAGCATCTCCAAAGGGCCTTTTCCCCATCCTCATGAGGTGTAACCCGTCCCTTGCCAGAAGTCCATTGGCAAGAAACCAAGTGCCACTGTAGAGAATACAGAAGCAAGACTAGCCCAGTCCAAAAGACAGTTAAGGTATCTTCCTGTGCTGGCAAAATTCCAAGAGCACCAAGAAACCAGGAGAATGCTTGATGGCAAAATTCACGTGCCTCCTCAACCCAAGCTTTTGGGACATCAAGGTCTGTGTAGGAATGGCCCTACCGTTTTAGTATAGTGAAGCAGTTGCCTCAGGTGGCAAATGCTGGGAGGTAGCTGCAGAGTGTTAGGGGAGACGCAGTGACCCACATGGCTTGTCTTGTCCCCCCAAGACCTCCTGCTGCCTTCAGGTGTGGTGGAGGATATTCTCTCATTGTCAGTATTAAATTAAGGCTCAGCAGCCACAGTAATCAGTAATCTATGTAATACATAGAGCAGTAGAGGGGCCTCAGGCACCAAAACATCTTGGGCTGAGGCAGGAAGTATGTGTGTCTTTCCTTGTTCCAGCTTCAGGTACTTTCCTCTGCTTCATAAAAGTAAACAGATCAAAAGTTCCCCACTATCATATAACAAGATACCAGGGGAAATGATAAACATTATCAGTTAGGGCTGCAGAACATCATGAGCCACCCCATTCAAAAATATCTGCTTTCTGTCACTGTGATCATCTATAACTTTTTCCACAAAAAAGAAATGGACAGTACAGACCATTAGTAATAAATATGTGAGCTTGTTAATGTTATTAATGATTTTTTTCCTTTCAAACTACAGCCGGCCAGAAACATCATTCCTTTGGTTCACAAATCCATGCAAGTCGATGAAATATATTGTGTGGCGCAGATTTAAGTGGGTCTTCATTGCCGTTCTCATCTTGCTGATTGTGCTCTTATTTGTAGCGATTCTTCTGTATTCATTGCCGGTATGCATGCTAACATTTGCAATATTATTCCTCACTAGGGATAATTCACCTTTAGGGTTAGGGTTGGGCTTGTAGTAAGAATCCCTACTTATGCTCCTGGTTGTGACTTAAGTGCAGCTTTTAAATGCTTGGTTTCTTTAAGTACCCAATAGGCAGTGGATAGATCCAGACTTTGTCATAGTAAGAAGAGACCCACTGAAAGGTTTCTGAATCTTTCCACTGATTTCAGTAGGCCTACTCAAAGTATGACTAAATGTGGAACCACAGCAAAGAAAGGTATTATTTCCTGGCTTAAAAAAGTAAACTGAAGATGGTTTATTTTTAAAAAGATGGGAAACTGCATTGATTGCTTAATTTGGATTCTGTTAAAAACATAAGATGTCTTCTATGGAAAAATATGTGATAGTGACAGCATTACTGAAAAAAAATCCATATCATTCCTCTGGTATGGAAGAAGATAATTGCATTTGTGGATCCCACTTTGAGCAAGGGGGTGGACAGGTATTTTCACAGTCCTTTCAAACTCTATGATGCTAAGAAACTCTGATAATCAGTCATTAGATGTCCTCAAAGAAGCAGTGCTTCCCTATCATACTGAAAACCAGGTCCTGTTCATGGTCTCTGCATGTCACATGGGCTTTGTACCAGCGCACAGTTTTACTTCAGGAAAGGTCTGCAGGTGAGGCATGTGGACAGGAACCTTCCTTAAAGATCCAGTGCACACATCCCTATCAGGTTCCCACTTATTCCCTCTCTTCTTTTTGACTTAGTGTTAGCCTTGTTTGGGAACTTCTCTTCATTCAGTCCACCTGAAAGCATGTTTCTGCTAAGGGTTTTATTCTTCCTTTATCTCTGTCATTCCTCATCCTTTTTACTTGGTTGGATATTCTTTGTTGTTTTGCTTCTCATGATCCAGCGATTGCATGACAAATGAGTGAATGGTCCTCTGGACTTCTTTTCACAAGTGCGTGTGTTGTGGAAGTAAGCTAAGTCCATTGAGCCTTCTCCTAGCCCCACTGAGCTGTCTCTGCTTCACCATGGCCTGTGCAAGTGCTGGGGTTGGAATCACCCCAAGCTCAGACTTCGAAACAAACTGAGTCATCAAGCAGAAAAAACACACCCTGCTCCGGCACACTAGGTCTTTGATGCTTTTGTTAGTAAAAAGAAAAAAGAAAAAAAAATAACAAGAAGAGGCTAAAGTGTCCAGATACTCAGGTGCTCTTCTGACACAGAGGAGGAGGAGGATGAATAGAGGAGGAGGAGGAGAGCAGCTCTTCAAAAATAGTAGAATTGCTATGGGAACAAGTGTGATCATCACTTCTGATCACAATTCCCACTCTACCACTAGTGTTAGAATCTCAAATCCCAAAGCAAGACCCAGTTCCAGTCATGCCAACACTGGAGGATACTTCCCTGTTCAAGCCACGATCTTTGATGGGCTGCCAAGATCAGTCTTTCTCCCATATGAAAGGCCTTAGCAGTGATGCCTTGATTCCCTGGATTCCATCTTCCCAGTAGTGTCAGTACAGAAGAACTGGGGCTGCCAACATCATTAGGAACTGGCTGTTAAGCTGAAGTTGACTGCTGGCCCAGTCATGCAGTCCTCTCTTCTGTGCTGCAGTAGCACACTGCCCTGCCTCTAGTATGTCAGCTTGCTGTTTGTCCATAAAAGTCATGAAGAAGAAAAGCAGGTTGCTTACCTCTCACTGTAGTTCTCAGAGTGGTCATTTGTGCATTCAAAGAACCTACCAACTCTTGCCTCTTCCATGTCATACTCAGGTTTGGTGTGCAGATACCAAAGATTCATCTTGATTCTGTGGCTACAATGCTGGTCTTAAGGAGCCGAGAGAATAAGCAGTAACCTGCTATGTAAACGTATGCTGGAACAGTGGGGAAGGATTCCCACCAAAATTCCTTAGCTATAGACATTTCCTGAAGCACAGCTAAATGCAGGCCCACAGTTAGTGCGTGAATGCAGAGATGATAGGTATCTAGTTTTAGGTGAAGCAAACTGTCTTTTCCCACTGCAACTCCCCTTGTGCACGCTACTCCTGTACACTCCTGTACTGCTTCCTTACTGCTACCTGCCTGACATACGCACAGACCCCACTGGCAGTCTTTATGGGAGGGCTGCATGGATTCGGACCTTTATTAACTGTACCATTTATACAGCTCATAATGAATTAGAATCTCCAGTGGCTTAAAGTTATTTTGTTCTAACCCTTATAGCAGTTCTGTGTGGTTGATGCTGAGGTGTAAACTCTCTCACTGCCCGAGAGGTAAAAGAACATGCTTCGCGGTACTGCACCCACTCCCGCCACCTTTGGTGCTGCCATGCCAGTTCTGTGGAGGGCCGCACAGCTGGAAGCAGCAGCTGCCTCAGTCTTACAGGAGCTCAACCAGCTCTTGTAAAACCCGAGCAAACTCTCACAAGAGCCCCACAGCCATTCCCAGGGGCCCTGCTGGCCACTTGCATGCTGTGGCACATGCGTCAGCCGGAGGGTGGCTGGGTGGGGGGCAGCAGCAGTGGGGCAGTACTGGTGGGGAGATGCCTCCTTTTGGGAGTGGGGGACCAGTACAATTCACTATTCTTCCAGTTCCATTACTTGATATGAGCATCTCACCCTACTTCATGGGTAGGTCTGTCCTGGCTGAGACTTAGAGGGGAAGAGCCTTACCTAAGACCAACAAATGCCACAAAGGACTCCTTTTTTCTTTTGGCAATACATACATGCTCCTCCAATTGCTTCATCTCCTAACAAGAACATTCTGGGATTATTGTTATTGATATTTCTGGATAGTGCTTAATTATGATGCAGCCGAATCTATAATTTGGCCAAAAGCAACAGCATTTTCAGCATTAAGTTGCATGCAGAAAATGGTGTCAGATCATAAAATGCCATCACTGGACAATCAGGTAAACGGGAACAATAATCTTGTGTTTTTCTTTTAGGACACTTTATAGCTTGATATGATTTTTAATTTAAACACTTGCTAGCTAAAATTTACCCTATATATCTATATATCTAGAATGAATTTTGACCACATTTTTCTCCCTTTTTTAGAACTACATTTCGATGAAGATTGTGAATCCATTTTCAGCTCGTTAAGGAAGATACTTTTATCATTGGGATTGTGATGAGGTTGTGCAGCCTTCACCTCCAGACCAAGTATACACATATAATGACCAAATCATCAGGCCACCCATCGTGCCTGTAACTCTGCTCTTCCCTTGTGTTTTAAAGCAGAAGGAGAATCATTTCCAAGAAATTAACTGTTATCTAAGACATATTGGGTAACTTGGGTAGGATCTAGAATTATGTAGGTATACGCAACTACACTGTTGCAACTCTGCCCCTTTCTCCCCATGGCAGCCACTCCAGTCCCCTAGAAATGCTACAGAGAAAGCCAGGAGGGCTCTGCTTAATGGGGTGAGCCGCAGTGTGGTGTGCAAGACAGGAGGCTGCATCCCCTACAGTTAAGCAGAGGCACTTTCCATTTGTGGAGCCTTTCCGTGCATGGAAGGCAGCTCCTGAATCTGACCTACTGTGTTCTACTTCTGAATTTTGACTTTGATAGTATAAGCATGATAAGAATGTCTGTCCTCTTATTTCCAAAGATATTTTTTTCAGATATTATTTCAGATCTCCCATTTCCCCTTTCCTTTGAAAATGCACTCTTTATGGCACAATCTTGTTCATGACTACTCAGAAGTAAGTCCTGTTAAGGTCAGTGGGATTTACTCCTAGGTAAGTGTGTATGAGATTTCAGCCTTAATATTGTATCAATTTTATTATTAGTAGTATGAGCACTTGGCCGTTCTGAGTCTTGATTTTTGAAAGGGAAAAGTTGCTACTTAATATTCTGCCAAATAAAACAGTGCAATAAACTGCACACAGTGATGTGAGCATAGTGTTCAGAAAGTTTGCAATAACAGCACTGAGCTTCACTTCATACATTTCAAATGTATGGCCAAAGCAATAAAATAAAAGAAACAAGTGTACAATTTGTACACTTCAGCATACAGGTGTAATGGCAGTGATGGCAATAGCAAAGCCTACTCTTATGGAGTTTTAGATGCTCCAAAACCCATTGAAATCAGTGGAGGTATTGTGGCTCTTAGCCAGATAGGATAATCTTCATTCCTGCATTCCCCAGTAATCAGTTCCCATCAGCCTTAGCAGCTTTTCTCCCATCCTCTACCCTGTTCTCTGCATTGTTTCTCTAGAACATTGAGAATAATCTAAGTTGTACCATGCAAAAAATAAATCACTTTTCTTTGCTTGAACACTAGTCCTATTTAAGTACTATTTCTCCAGTCAGTATACATTCTTGGCAAGTGGCCTAAAATGTGGATTCCTGAGTGTCAGTGTTTAGATTCAAACTTGCGAATGCGACTGGGAGGCTGCAGTTCCCAGTACTGGCCACTCAAAGGCAGTCCAGTGTGAGTGCTGAAATGTTAAACTCTCCAGTATGACTGAGATGCTGCAGTTCCCAGTACTGGCCACTGTAGGGCACCCTAACTTCAGCAAAATATCAGGACAGTGGCTAGCTAGGTGGCTGGACAGCTGGGTGGCCAGACACTAATCAGGAGGCAGCACGTGGGTTATGTGTTTGATTTTGGACCTGCCACCTCATTGATACTCCTTTAAGATAACAGACTGCACAAACGCTGTATGTCACATACTGTTTGGATGTCTGCCCAATCAGGGGCAGCATTTGGGCCATATGGCTGATTTCAAGCCCTTTCCTTCACTGATACTCTGCCCACTTGGACTTGGATAAAAGCCAGGCCATTTCAGATCAAACAAATGACCCAAGTGCTGCCAGATGGCCAAACAGGATGTGACATTGAGGTGCTGGTGCAATCTATCCTCGTAGAGTGGGAAAATATCCATGAGGGGACAGGCCGAAAATCACCCACATGACCTGAATGCCATCTCCTGACTGAGTAAATTTTCTTTTTTAGTGTCAGCAATAAGGTTTTAACTAATAGGAACAGGAGTTCCTATTAGTTACCAGTACTGACCACTTGAGGGCAGCCCAGTGTTGGCGCTGACATTTATCTCTCAAATGGGAGTAGAAAGCTGCAGCACAGTGTCAGTGCTGAGATTTCGGCTCTCTAATACGGCCTTTCCCACTTTGATAGGATTCAGAGACATTTGGACCACAACTCCCAGAATTCCCATCCAGCGGGGGCATTGACTGGAACTTCTGGGTGTTGCAGTCCAAATGTGTCTGGAAGGCACAATGTTGGGGAAGGCTGCTCTAATAGGATCGCAGGAGGCTACAGTTCTAAGTACTGGCCAGCAGAGGGCAGCCCAGCATCAGTGCTGAGATTTGACATCCCAGTGGGATAGGAGTCTGCAACTCCCAGTACTGGTCCCCAGAGGGCAGCCCGGTATCGGCAGTGAGAAGTTAACTCTAATAAGGTAAGGAGGCCGCAGTTGGGAGTACTGGCCAGCAGAGGGCCTCCAGTGTTAGCACCGACCTTTTAACTCTCAAGGGATCAGGAGGCAGCAGTTCAATTCAGTAGGCCAGCTGGCCCTGACAACTATAGAAGTTTCCTGAACACAGCTCCATGGAGGCCCAGAGCGAGCGAATACACAGAGTACCTCTGCAGTTTTATGGGAAGCAACCTGTCTTTCCCTGCTGCAGCTCCCCTTGCACATGCTACTCCTGTATGTACTGCTTCCTTACCGCTACCTGCCTGACATGCATACATGCTCCATTGAAAGTCTTTATGGAAGGGCTACATGGATTAGGCTCTGTATAATTAATTGTACCATTTATACAACTCATAATAAAATAGAATCTCCAGTGGTTCAAAGTATTGCTTATTCATTATTTTGTTCTAACCCTTACAGCAACTCTGTGTTTAAGATACTGATGGAAGCTGAGGCATAAGCATTGAACAATGAAAATAATCCATAAAAATAATCATACCATGCAACAAGTAAATCACCTTTTCTTTGTTTGGATACTACTCCCATTTAAGTACTATTTCCCCAGTCACTTCACCATTCTCTGTAAGGTTGCAGTATACGTTCTTACGTTCTTTTAAATCCACCAGAGTTCCATTGGTTGCCTTAGTGTTTTTGTAAGGATTTAACAGCAGAATGTTGATTGATTCTTAAAGAAGCTACCTGCACACTGTAGCACTATTAGGGAAGAAGCAAGCGAGGTCCTCTTGTACTTTTTGTAGTGATCATCTTGATCAGAAGATGAAGCTTCTTGTAGCATGGAGATGCACACCACCACACTCTAATGACTGCAGATAAAATTGCTATTAAAGGCACAAAGCAGGAACCAATTATTTTAAAAAAAGTTGGCTTCCCAAATGCTTTCTGATTGGTGGATCACTGCACCCTATGACATAGGTGAGCAGAAAGTACTCTGGAACTACTGGTAGATTTTAGGGTGATTTGAAGAAGATTAGCAAGGATTTCCCAACTGCCAGTTCAACAACAGAAGCAATAATATTACCCATTCCCTGCAAAATATACTTCTGAAATGAAAAGAGGTTGGGGTAACCAGAAGTGATTTTTTTGTGTGAGAACATTTGAAGAATTATGAGTTCCACTCAAGTTCTGTAACTCAAAACACGTATGTGTGCTTACTCAGAGGTACTCACTGAGTGGGAAGGGAATTACTCCCATACAAGTGTGTACAGCAGCCTTCCCCAACCTGGTGATATGTTTGATTATAACTTCCATCATTCCCAGCCAGCACTGCCATCAGTATGATGGAATTTTTAGTCCTATGTAGCTGGAGGGCAGCAAGTTGAAGAAGGCCTCTTTACTCACTTGCATGGGAGGAATTCCCAATGAACTCTCTGATATATAATTCTGAGTAAGCACCTGCAGGTGTTTTGAGTAGCAGAACTGAGTGGAATTCTTCAAGTGTGCACACACATGCACAGGACTGTACTGCATGAAGCTTAAACTTGCTGCTGACCCTCTGCCCCATCTGACTTACATGTGTGAATGAGTTGCCACAGAGAGAACCTTTGTGTTTATCATCCTTCCATCTACCAAACACAGCTAGTTATGCATTCAACTGAGAGGCATCAGCTCTTGAATAATGGCGTGTTTCATGCACCTATGAATCAGCCACAAGGACCCACATTCCCTTTTTTAATAGAATGACCCATTCATGCTCCGTTGACACTAATGGAATACAAGAATGCTTTGTCAGGGAGCCACTTTTGTAGAGGACTAAACTCAAGTCTAACATATGCTTATACTTAGATGTGAAAAATGGTTATGAGCAAGCATTCCGGACTATGTAGCTCAGCTTTCCTTCTCTTTGGCGCACAACTGGCCCTGTCACTGCTGAAAAGACTGTGGCAGCTGCAGAAGGTATCAAACTCCCTGCCATCACTGCAATGATTCATGGCAGCGCAGGCCTTGACTCTCCACGAAAGATGTCCAGCATTCTCAGTTTTCACCTTAACTGGGAAAATGATGACAAGCTAAATTGGCCCAATAAATAGTGGGTTTGCTTCATATGAAATCAGTTCCATAATGTGGAGCATTATGTGCCTGGGTGGGACTGTTGTCCTGTCAAGATATAATGGTCCTTTATTTGGGAGTGGCAAGAACTGATTGGAGAGGCATGACAGTTCAGCACTGAGACTAATCGCAATCCAGATGGATTGCCATCTCACAATTGAAGTCAGAATGCTTTGGCAGGAACAATTGTGTCAATGAAACCCCTATCATTCCTAATTAAGATTATTTCAAGACAGTGCCACAAATTGAACGGGGGACATAAATCCCAGAGGTGTTAGTTTTTACCCAAGAGCTAAACAGTGTGCCACTTACACATGTTCTCATCAGACAAGCATTTACCCTTAAATATTTGGAGGCCATCTTTCCTAGGGAAATAATAATGGAAATAGCTTGAGAAGAGGTCAGCAGTCCTGAGATGGAGTGACCAGAAGCTGGATATGGATCTACTGGTAGAACTTTTGGCAAACTGCTGTAGACCATCAAAGGTATCTGGCTCCCAGTTGTTTACATTTCATCTAAATTAGGCTACTGAAATGAAGAAAGCTTTGAGTAACCAAGAATGGACTTTTGTGTAAAAGGACTATGAGCTTAGTACAGTTCTGGTACTGAAGCCAGACTGCCGGTCTTTGAAGTCCTGGTTTTAATTTAACGCCTGCCTTTTTCACCTGGATGTAGAAGTTCTAGTAAAAAACAAAGTAGATCTGACAAGCCTGAAGTCTCCCCCTTGTTCTAGCTCAAGGTGTAATGGGGATGAATATTGCCTTATTACAGTCCATGGCATTCTTTGCCCTGGCAATGCATGATCTGCTGATGGCTCTACTGTTGATCAGATCTTTTCAAATATACCATAAGTGTTCTTTAAACTTAGAAGAGATAGCAGCTATGGCACAAAAAATAGAAGTTTTGATTTGCAATAATTTTATTCGCAAGTAACAATGCCATGCCTGACCAAGAATTCCAAATGCTCAGGCACTTTGGAAACAGAGGCTACGGGACATATAGCGATAGACCAGTTGGGCAGGCAAATATTGGATCAGTGAATGAGCCAATTGTGAAGCACAGGCAGCAAAGCGGCTCAGAAACGTCCTTGCTTGAGTCCCTACAAATTTTTCCTCAGACTTAGCTTAACTCCTGCGAAAACTCAACTCTCCCCTTCCTTCTCTCTGTCTCAGGACTAAATGTTGGATTTGGGAGTTGGAAGCTTGTGTTAAAAGCAGCTATGAAAAGTGCCAGTTCAGCTTCCAAACTTGTTTTCCCTGCGCCATTTCCCCCATTTAGCTAATTCCCCTCCAAGCCAGTTGTCCTGAAAGTTTCCCCTTCACCCATGGTGCAAATCATGGCAGTGGTAGTACGGGGGTGGGGGGAAATTGTTCAGCCAGGAAAATTGTACGAGGGGAAATTCAAATTCTCCCTTTCCCTACCCTTTTGATCCCCGGTCCAAATTCTGATGGATGACAGGAAACTTGCCTTACTGTGCTAGTTGTTCATAGCCTGATATTCCCTATTTGGTTAGCAGCAAGTCCCCAGGATGCCAGCCTGAGAACTTGCCCCTGACCTGATAGCTGTTCCCTTTTCCATTGGTGATGCCAGGGATTGAACCAGACACCTTCTTCATGAAGCAGGTCCTCCACCACTGGATAGGGATGTGAAGTCTCCCTCACTGCAAAAACAGAAAGTTTGGAGGAAAAAAAACATTTTTATTTCTCCCCATATTGTGCAGTTTTCCCAGATCATGTCTGCCACTATGCTATGGTCCCTCCCCAGTCCTCTTAATCTGTTTGATCCAAGTAATCTTCCTGCCTCCATTTCTATTTCCTGAATATTTACCTGTATTATGGAAAGGCCTCGTTTATGCTAAATACTAGATAGCTTGGCATTTTCTAGGAAAACTAAACACGTAGATAGCAGCTCCCCTTTCTTGACCAGCTATAGGCATGCAGTGCATGCACGCACTTGTGTTTAAGCCTTATGCTAAAATGAGCCCTCAAGTTGCGCTCCGCCTGTCACTGTTCTTCTGTATGTTCTCATACATGTGGATCTATGACTGGGTTGGGCAAAAGCTAGATTTTCAGTAGCTCTCCCAGCATTTTCAGACTCCCAATCATTTCAGAGCAGCAGCAAGAGCAAATGGGAAAGTGTTCCTAAGTTAAGATGCTGAAAACAAGGAAAGCTGGGTATGGAAGAGAACCGGGCATGGATTTTTGTGTGAAAAGACTGTGAGCACGGTTCTGCTGCTGAAAATAATCTTTGGCTCGAATGTAATACCAGGGGCACCCTGTTCCTCAATTCTGAATGTATCTCTCCTGCAATCCCCCTCCTTGCACCTCTGTTTACACCTGGCCATGATTGGACCTTGGGTTCCCACAACCTGGACTATGCCCAGCAATGCTTTAGGGATGTGAACTTGCATTTCTTCTGTCAGTCACAAGATGTCAGTGTATATGCCCAATTTCTATTCAAAGGATAGGAGCAGGCATCCAATCTTAGTCCTACTTAAAGCAGACTCGTTAAAATTAATGGGATTTACATTAGATTACCACGAGATAAACCAGCTCTGTTAACTATAAACCCTACCCCAACAAGTAACTCTTCCAAACATAAGCCAAAGTTTTGTGCCACAAAATTTATTCTAGCACCCACAGCTTTCTACTGAAACATCAAATATGGGCTCATAGTTAAAAGACACACACCAGCATTGTCATATCACCTCCAAGGCTTTGTGCTGTTTCGTGCCACAAAACCTAAAGTTTTGTGCTGTTTAGTGCCACACAACCCAGCCTCTGTGCTGTCACCAAAAGCATTAAAATGTCATTCCAATCTGTGGGGGTCTGGCAAATACTTAAAATCTTGCTTTCTCATTTTACTTCCCAATGCATGCTAAACTTTTGTGCTGGTTTGTGCCACAAATCCCAAGTTCTGTGCTGCCATATGTGTGGAAATGACATATCCCTAAAGCCATGCCTAGTGAAAGCAAAAGATCCACAATGTAGCTGAATTTGAATAGGCCGTAGGCACATACACAGCAACAAGACAGCCTGCTGCTGTCTCTAGATGATAGTTTGTACCTGTTCCAAGGCTGCAAACTGGTTTCTGGACAACCTGGAAGGAGAAGGTCTGTTCTGTGAATCACGGATTTCTTGAAACTTTTATCAGTCAGCCAGCACTAAGCTCTTGACCTCAGGTCAAGATCCTCAGTTCACACATTCTGTTTTCTTGCACATCTATAACAATACGCATGTGTAAGTACAGTGCATGATACATGAAAATAATGCTGTAACCTGTTTTTCAGGATATACAACAATGGTGGTCAACTTGAGAC